TATAAAAAAAAAATCGAAGAAATAGAAGACATAAGTGAATTGCATCTTTTGAACAAGTATTGTCTAGTGTTAAACCAAAAAAAACAAAAAACAATTTACTGCAAAATAAAGTGCGGTAAAAGGTAAATTACACACTGTAAAAAAGATGCAATATAAATAAATAAAAAGCACGCACTAAATTGTTGTCCAGTTTTTGTAGTCCTCTTAATTCCTTTCCCAATATTCCGGGGATCATTTCGGTGGTGACCGCCGGTATCATTTCGGTGGTGGGGATCATTTCGGTGGTGATTGGGGGTCATTTCGGTGGCGGAGATCATTTCGATGGTGGGGATCATTTCGGTGGCGCTACAGACATTTTGGTACTTTGTTTATCGAGCAAGCAAGGGAAACACCTTTTGTCTCCTCGTGCGCACGCGCGCGTCTACGATATTTCTCCTTTAGCCCTAAAAAACCGGCGCTGCGCAGGCTAGCAAAAAAGTACAACCCTGACTCTCGTATGCATAGGTGAGTTACATGTGTCAAAAGGAGTTGGGAATTCTCTTTGCATATGAAACTACTCTGTAAAAAAAAAAAGTATTAAATTTACTTTTAATCTTATGTATGAACGTAACATCTTGATGAAGTAATGCAAGACTTAATTTGCATTTCTAAAAGGAAAAAAACTTTTTCATCGGATTCACCGATAAATTCAAGTCAAACAGACAAAGCATTACCTGTTAAACTTCCAAACAGAATTTCGTCACCTTCTTCGCGTATTTCGGGAACAGCTTGTTTAATTATTTATAAAATTTCATTGTTTGGTACGGTGGCAAACCTGGAAGCCATTTTTCGCGAAACTTCGCGAGTTTAGCATTGCTCGCTCGAAGGAGCTGAAGGTGAATCAGTGAATAGCACTGGATATCCGGAGTTTGAGTATCTGTTTTAGTATATACTAAAACGTGTTATTCGTTCAATAGGAAAGAATATCCGCTTTAGAGGCAGGTCATTTGGCAATATCAATGGTATCGACCTTACTGGTCTTCTCGTCGATTTGATTGCAATCACAAAAGATGGTCGTGTATATGTGTTCATACTGAAACCTCCACTCGACCTTGCCCACTCCCTGAAGATTCTCACACCTTTTGCTGACGCGATTGGTTGGTCGATGGGTGTTATAAATGCAAAGGGTGTTCCGAATGGTTTTAGTTTAATTGGCCACAGGTTTACAAGAAACGTGGTAGTTTCCTTCGACACAGGTAAACGGGTAAATTCATGTTTTTACTAGTTCCTTCCGAAGAAGCGGTACATCCATTTTCAATATTGGGTCACAGACATAACTGCAAGACATTTTTCCACTTGGACTCGCACTGGAATGTTTTAAAAGTCGAGACTTTTCCGTCGCTTTGTAGTTTTTAATTTTTTGTTGTGGAGTCCGCGTAGTTACCTGATACATTTTATATAACAGTATAAAATATATTTGAAGCTACTAAACTGGTCGAAAAAAGGGTCGTTTAAGGTCGGTTGCTTAAGTCGGCTTAAGCCAACCAAAAAGACTGGTTTGATTTTTTTTCTCATAGCTTCGATTGTTGTTTCTTGTCACAAATTAACCACTTGGCTTTGACGTTATCGAACAGGTGAAGTTTTAAACTTATACCAGAGTTTCACGGGTAAAGATCCAAGGATGACTGTCATCGCCTTTGAATCTGCAATCAACGGCACAATGCCAGTCATCAGTCCGAATTCCAGCGTCAAAGTTCATTCTTTCAAAGAGGTTTTTCGTTGCGTGGACCGTGGAAGAGTAGAGTCGAATGGAACAGTCACTTTCGAAGTGGACGGACAAGTAAACGGGTTCTCGGTGCTGCAGAATATCACTTACGACGAACTCGATGAATGTGAAAGCGGCTTCGACAGCTTTAATGTGGAGTCCAGCGTTCTTCATTCAAAATACGATGAAAAACAGAAGTACTCTGGAGTAGCTATCAAATCTTCCATTATAAACGCCCCCAAACAAGAGGGTGAGTACCTAATACAACCACAAAAATAATTTTCTCCAAAAATTGTCTATTTACAGACTGTCGCAATTTGTAATAATCATCGCACTTTGTAATACCTGTCGCAACTTGTAATAAACCGTGTCACGCTTTGTAATAAAAAAGCTGTCGTAATTTGTAATAACTGTCCATCGCACTTTGTAATAAACTAAGCTTTCGCAATTTGTAATAATTCCATCGCACTTTGTTGTAAACGTAAGTTATTTTGTTTGGTCAAACATGCTTGTCTTCTGTTATAAATTTTTCTGCCTTAATTAATCACGTGACCAACGAGAATCGCTTTTATGAAAGACATAAAACTTCCTGTGACATGTCACCAAAAAAAAGAAAGGAATCATTTCATATATTTGAACTCAAAAATAAAAAATATTTAAATAACAAAAGCAACATTTAACAACAGAAAATTCATGAATAACCTAGCATTCGTCGTCCCAATCCAATCCAAGAGGGGGGAGGGGGGGATGGGAGCTCAAGTTGTAATGGATGGTTTGGTTTATTATCCTTTCTATTTTGTGGAAAAAAAAAGTTATCCTAAACACACTCGGAAGAATTGCAAGGTCTTACGAGTTCTATGCCGGGAAGGAGATTCTTTTAGTATCCCCACCGTATTTCCTTTAGAGCGCTCCATAGAAAAAAATTGTTTTAGGATGGAATGATACTCCTTTTGTTCCTATATGGGACCAAATCAAGAAAGAATAATGGACCAAATGGTCAGCCGGCTCAGTGTATCAGTCCAAGTGAGTTTTATAAAAAACAGTACACACAAAGGTATTGGCCAGCGACTAATTGGATTTTGTGTTTCTGTTGTGATTCCACGGTTTGCCACGGGTGACGTTTTGGTTTATTTCCAGTAAAAATAAATTTTGAATTTTACAGGCCTCGTCTGATTAAGTTGGCCAAAATATAGAAGCCACTATTACTTCTTGTAAGATTGCTCGTTAGACAAGGACGCTGCTTTGTCAACCCGTTTTAAGATCTAAAAAGGAAAGCTTTCCTGGTGTCCTTATTTCCAATGCGGGGGATCGAGATCATGAACCTTAAAAAACACTCACACCAATATTTTTCCAATGTATGATAACCATAACTTCTTAGCTATGGGGTTACACTATATAAAGGACTTCATGTGCCGAAACAGAATAATAAATTTTGACAATAGGTCCTTAGCTGTTACAAATAACTCAGAGTACAATTATTAACAGAGAGATAATTTTCAGATTGTAGATGGTCACTTGGTACAGAGAAGTTTAAAATTGGGAGTTTTAGGATTAGTTCGCCTGATTCCCGTAACATTCCTCTCCCTCGCCTTCATGGACATTTCTCATGGTGCACATCAGGACAGAAATATTTAAAGATCCACCTTGGTGCAAACCCCAGGTACAAAGTCACAGCCATAGCCACTCAAGGAGGGGCAGACAAAAACCTATGGGTGAAGCAATACAAACTGCGTTTTCGTGTTGGTAACATAGAAGTTCCTTACAAAGAATCTGAAGCACCGAAGGTCAGAATTGTTCAGTCATTATGATGTATTTTACAACACGTAGTTTTTGTCAAAGTTAATTTTTTGCAAGACCACGAGAGAATGAGCTACTCTCTTAGAACGACCTCATATTAAAGGAGTGGGTATGTCAATCGTCTCGATTACTAGTAAAGATTGGGTTTATCACTGCGGAACGCCAATATTTTATGCCCACAGTTGGTACTTATCCTCCCTTGTTATTAGGAGGTCTGCAATTTTGTCCAGGATTGCAAGCTTTGGAAAAAATTTGCTACAAATCTCCAAACAAGAAATACATAAATAACATTGTTTTTCTTGTACAAATCTATAACAAAAATATCACAAGGATTAAGAAATTACAAAAAAATATGTAAAGAAAAACATGAATTGTGTCCCCAACTGCAGGAAAAATTCCTCACAAAGATCCCAAATCTATCAAGAACAACTATTTTAGCACGAGACACTCAGGCAAACGACAAAGGAAGGAGGCGGAAGAAGAAAATCAAAAAGAAAGAAAAAGAAAGAAGCATTGAATTAAAACCTTTTATCTCAGCTAAACGGAGTTATTGTACCTCTTATTTGGCTCTCTGTTTCAGAATTCTATCTTTTAACGGTAAAAAAAGCTCTGACCACACCTTAATTGGTTTCTTTTTCAATTTTCCGACAAGCAACCCATGCAATTTAACATGGAAGTCATGCTCGGCACAGCATCTCCCTGCCAGGTAAACTTGACGAAAAGATTCAGAGAAAAAGTACGGTTATGCAAAAAGAAATATTTCGGTTTAAAATAGACACTGTACCCTCAACTTTTACCTTTTGATTTTTCTCCTCTCTCCTTCTCTCTTCCCTCTCCCTGCCGGAATTTCCCAGATGAACGGTTAGTACCCTAGGGTTCATTTCGGTGAAAAGGCTTTTAAGATCGAAGGATTAGGTGGAAGTAAGTGCGGGTGGAAAGTGGAGTGAGATTTTCATTGGAATTTCCGTTTCAAACTGACGTAATTATGGCGTTTTGCGTTTTTCTTCTGCCTGTTTGACTGAATCGTGCCCATTCTGATTTGATTTGAAAGATCTCTATCCCCTGCGCAAATTAGATGTCAGAGTTGTCCTTGACTGTAAAATAGATTACGTCGCAAGCAATACAAAGGACATAAATCGGCACGGGCAGTTATGGTCGGTTCAGGGCTGAACGGAACTTGTCTGTTCGCTGTTTTAAAAAACAGCGAACATTTACTGGCCTTTTTTTCCCGTATAAACCCTTTTCCCCTTTGTGTCGTCTGATTCTACTTGTGCCACTTCCATATCCATCGTGATTTTTTTCTTCTGAATTTCTAGTACTTTCCCTTTTATGTTGTTATTTATTGTTTTCAATGCTATCTTTTATCAGATCATAGAGGGGAACCAGGACAGTAACTCTGTTGTGATATACCATCTCAAAAAGCCGTTTGTAACGAAAGAGTTGAAGATTATCCCTGATGTTTCAACGCCATCCATCTGCTTGAGAACAGAAATATATGGATGTCGCCCTGCTGGTAAGAACATTATGGCTCCATTCCAGTAAATGGAATATGTTCGGTTGACCTGCACCTTTCTAAACCTCTTATTTCATTGGTCCCCTTTAATTTACACTTCCATTGTTTTCAGGGATAGGGGCATTGTTATGTCACAATCCCTATCATTAGAATAATGGTTTTCCCAGCTAATCGTACAAACGATCTTTCGAATAGGTACAGATCACCCCAATATATTTACCATAAAAGAATTCGTTTCCTTATAGCTTCGAATTCTTAGCTAAAAAAACTGGATTTGAAAAGAAATAATCACAACTATTATAGTACAAAACTCACAGGATAGAAGGAATAAAATTGTACATACTTATACAAATATGAGAACACACTTTCTAAAACTAAAAACACAATAAACTGCTTTTGACATGTGCATTTTACAGCCAGTCCGAATACTCTGAAGGTTTTGTGCTTGTCACAACTCCAGGGGAAGACTATTCTAAAGAACTGCCCCATGGCCTAAATTGATATGTTCTGATACAGAAATCAGTGAGTAGCAGTGGAACGAAAGTTTGCTCTCATTGTCCTTTATAGAAATTAAAGGAAAAAAAATTAGAACAGAGATAATCCAGAGGAAGACTGTTAAGTGGACTAAAGACAATAACTACTTTTTGAGCTTTTCTTTGGCAGTCCAGTAATTTACCAGCAAATAAGCCAAAAAAGATAATTAGCATCAGTGTCTTAGCTGGGGAAAGTTAACACCTGTGCCGCCCCTTTTTGAAGCTTTTGTAATTTGACGCTAAGTAGGTAGGGTTTAAGAAGCTCTTACTCTTATAAAAGTACGATTTAAGCGAACATTTTTTTTCTTTTCTGTTCTTTAAGGGTATTTAATTTATTTAATTTTATCTTTTTTTCTGTTTTTGTTTAGATTGTATTTTGCTAGGTTCAATGTTTTGGGGACTGTGGACGCAAAGAGACAACTCAAGTAATTACTATAAGGCCTTCATCTCACGGATAAACAACACTCACATTGAATACCTCATGGAATTCAACAATAACCAGACACGAACATACAACCGGACTGCTCCAGTACTTATAATAAACAGGACTCCAGAGAAACAGGAAATATCAGTTAATGCACCTGTCATAGCTGTTCACAATCCTAAGATGTTAGAGTGGTATCGAACCGGTACCGTGAAAAACATGACGTCTGACAGGGGTAAATTCAAGGTCGAGGTAAAATTTGATAACGGTGACTCACGATCAGTCCCGTTAACAGAAATCTGCTTAGCCAAACGACCACGGTTCTGTTAAGAATTGCATCTAACAGGAGGCTACTTTTTATTGAAAATTTGTTAACCTAGATTTGCGAATCCACAAAAAAACGGTTTGCGTTAAGGCTTTGTTTTTGCTGTTGCAACACAAATCCTCGTCCTCCGGGCAATTTATTAGTTCCTTTTAAAACCGAATTATAACAACAACAAAAAGAACTTAAAACATCGTCTGTCTTGCCGAGCAGTCTTTCGTTTTTTATTCATTCTTAACTTTCTGACTTTTCTACTTTTTTCTTTTTGAACGAGTATATTGTAACATTTTAGAATTAAGAGTAGGTAAGAAAGCAAAAATTACTAGATGCAGTAAAAACCCGTGGGTAAGAACCTGAATTTTCCCAAGTTAATAGCCCAAACATGTTCTTACATAAGTGCATGGTAATTAGCACAAATTTAAGTTCTGGTTCCTAAAGAGGTTCCTATTTTCTGAAGAAAAACAATACATTGTGGCTTAGAGTGCTATTTAGCATTTTTAATATTCCTTATATAAAATATGCAAACCGTTTATAATGCCTTCTCTTATTTGTCCAAGAGTACAGAATTTTTTTCATAAATTTTAGAAAATAAGAACCTGTTTCAAATGTAAGGCTAAACACGTTCTTGCCTAACTGACAAATTTTAGCGTAACAGATTCTTAAAAACCCGGTTCTTGCTAGCTGGTTTTTACCGTAGTGGTAACATTAATTGTAATTCGTTATAATACGAGTCCGATTGTTCATTTCGAAGAAGTGTAACGTCACCTTAACAGTTAACAGACAGTAACTTTGTTAAGATGGTTAACTTTTAAACTTTAAAATACTCACAAGTAGGCAGCCTTGAAGGGAAATTAAAAAACGCTTCTTTCTTCACTATGTGTCTTATTTATTCTGAAATTATGAGCGCTGAGAGGATGACCATTACGGTACCATTTTCTCCTCTTTAGTAATTTACCTCAGTCGGCGTATCTCACTAGCTAGAACTTGCAATAAAGTAAGTAACAAGACGTATAACTGTGGAAAGACCACTGAAAATTTGGTAACATTTAGAAATCCACGGAGCACCAACGGGGCCATTTGATATAGAGAGGCCCTGCCAGAGTAAATTCCGAAAAGCGACAGAGCGTAAGCCGAGAATAAGCGACAAAGAACGGTGCAGTTTGGCTAATTTATTACCAGTCTGAATGCCAAGAAGAAGTAATTTTCGTCAATTTTCCTTGCGCTTCAGCGAACGTCTCTTGTCAGTGAGCTTCGGTGGACATATCCTGAGCGCGCGTCGCGTTACACTTCCATTTACCCAACCCCGCTCAATTTCTGGGAGACCTGAGAACGAGGTTGTCCGTCACGTGGCTTAATTTTATGCTTCATCTCCATGAACGGGATGTTCGAACATCGCAAGGCTTCAATCCTCGGCCAGCATTATGATCGTCGTACTCACTTTACTTTTGGGTGAAGAGTAGCCTGAGTATCAGGCGTTTCGGGGGAAAAATCTCTAAAATCTCCTCTCCCCTAGCCCCTTAGGAAGGCCTGATACTCAGGCTAGGTGAAGAGAGACAATGTGATCCAGACTTAAGTTTCTTGTTTAATGTAAGCAACACGGTAGTGACGACGGTGGAGAGACTAGGGACCAGGTAACCTAACCAACGACCTTCCAACCACTCACCGGCTCACAGAATAGACCACCGTTAACCGTGCATTCACGATTTACCAGGTCAGTTAGTCTTAAAATGTTGAACGTGGGTCACATTATTGTGAACGGCGATGTATATGTGTTCGATACGCGAAACTGAGAAATTGCAGAACTGTAATGGTTTCTTTACAACCCATCGCTATCCCCTCTTTTTAAAATTCCGACAAAGACAAAGAAGTTTCGTTCAATTTCCGGCAGGGACGTGAAGCATGTAAAAACACCTACACGAGACGTTTTAAAATTCAAACGAGTGACATGGGACACACCCCCCCTCTCCCTGACAGGTCCTCTGTTGATCGATTTAAAAGTGAGAACGGCACAATTCGGCGCCACGAATTTTTACAAGAATGGGCGAGTTGTATTATTTTTCTGAAGTGTACGAGAAAGTAGCTCATGAAACACCTTCATTCGTGTGTTTTTACACCATGGTTGACGTCTTGCCTGACTTCAGTGTTGAATTCGTGATAAACGTGATACTGCAGAGCAACTTTTTATTGAGGCTCTCTACAAATTTTAGAAGTGTACATTTACTTCATGCAAACAAGGTAATGTTCACTGCAGGATTCGTATTGTGGTACTGCCTCTCGGGTCCGCGGAGAGTCCTGAGACTGCAACATCTTTTAAAAAGAGCCTTCAGGCTTCTCGGTCAGTGGATAAGGATTCTCGATTCTCGATTTTTACCCAATCGATTTTTACCCACGATTCCAAGAAGCATCCCGGAAGTACTTCCGCTTGTTTGTTGTTGGTAATATTTCTCGCTCGTCGATTTCTGATCATTTCTCTTTATCTCGGCCAAAATGCGCCTAAAAAGATGTAACTATCAGGAGTGACCCTATCAGTGGCAGCATGGACAGTGGAGTTAACGATCAACGGCGCCGAGAGAGGTAAGGGATGTCGTTCTCATGCACGCGAAAGACATTCGCTGATAAAAATTTTTGCGCGGAGGATGATTGATCCTAGCACTGTGGGTCAGTGAACATTATATTTAGCAGAAGTGCGCCTTTTCGTTACTTGGGCAAACGGTTGCAGAGCTTGTCATATGAGCAATATTTTATGAAAACAGGCGGTGACTATAACAAAATTTTAACTTTAATTTCAAGTTAACGGTTCGGCACTGCAGTAGCACGCGTTTGAAACAGCCCTAAGATACTGCGGAGTAAGTTCCTCCATGGTGAAATGTCTAATAAGTCGCCATATATTACACACCGGTAAAAATAATCTTCAGTTCTTATACGAGTCTTACTTCATCCGTCGAATCAGATAAATAGTGTGAAGAACATTGTTCATCAACCCTGACCCTTCTTAGGACAAAAAAATCCTAAAATACATACCCTGTTTAGGACAACAGGCAATACCCTGTTGATAGTCTCACACGAAATTATATAACCGTTTTAGGACAGAGAGGTAAAAAAACCATACCCTGTCCAGTGGCACATCGCCTTATAGACCAGAAAGGGGAGTACCCCCCAGGGTCATCAGTCTGCAATTGCTCTTGATCAAGTTATCCATGATATTTTTCATTGTTTTATTCTTCATTTTCACTGTCACGCAATAAACACGGCACAAAAAAATAAATTGGAAACCGTCCAGTGGAAGAAGCCAAGAAAATGAAATGTTATAAAAGACTAATATATAAACAATTTATCCAAATCTCAGGTCTTTGTGGCCCACAGTTTCTGAGTTATTTGCCAAAACATTTTACGCACCTTTGTAGAGCTTTGTATGGAGACGCCACATTGGTGGACAGAACCTGTCATGCACTGTGAAAACTCGCAAGTTCAAATTGCTGTATTTTTGAAATCAAACATGCTTCAGGGCTGGAAACTTGTACATCACAAAGATTTATTTTCTATTTATCTTCAACTAGTGTAAATAATAATTCGTAATCTGATGTGAAAACCATCAATTAATGAGAAGGGTGTAATTTGACCCTGAGGGTATACTCCTGGGAATTCTTCGTGGGTGAGTGCCATCCAGTTCTCCAAATCCTGAACCTATTTCAGACCAAAAATGTCACCTGACCTCTAAAATCCATACCCATTTTCAGACCTGGCCTCTAAGTCATCATTACTCAGATTAGAACACCAACAAAACTTGTTAAAATCCATTTCTCTTTCTTTCTCATTTGGAAGAAATGATAAACAGATTCATACGCTCCCATGACTTCCCTCAAAACCCATAAAATTCTGAAACCCGATTCTGAGATCTGTGATCCCTAAATGAAAGTAAATCTAAACTTTTCTTCAATAAAATGAATGAAGAAGACTTACCTTTGATGTATTTCAATCTGGGTTGGGTTTCATTGCACCAGCAGATTTTTTAGACTTGTTGCATAACCACTGTAATTTCCCTCATAAGGTGAAGTCGAGACGATCCTAATGGTCATAGTCATCTGGCAGGTTTCTGGACAAATCATGATAAAAATGCTTCACAGAAATTCCTGTGGTTGTATAAATTCACTGTCACACTTGTAGTTAAATTTCAGTTCTAGAATACCTGCTTAATTACATGAATGCTTGCCAATTTTATTGAGATGACATAATTATTAAATAATGTCTTGTTTATTTAGTTCACGTGTTAAGGTTAGGGTTAAGTTATTGTTATCATTATTTAGTTGACGTGTTACACTCTATTGTTTTTTTGGCCAAGACAAGTTTTTTATTACTGAAAACACAAGAAAAGGTCACGTACAACACGAGAGAAAGAAAAACTATACATAGAAAATGATACTTTTGCTAATACACAAGAAATGATCAATTAAGTGAAAATGAAATCTTATAGTAACTTTAACTAACCTTTGAACAGATGGTGTGTCATGTGGTCCTTTGCATCAAAATCCTTAAAGGGGAAGATTTGCCTGCTGCTAATCTTAATTATGAGGAAAACTCGTTTTTGAGATATAGATGTAGTAAAAGTAATGGTTCTAGGTCATGGCTTTAAAATCCCCTGAAGTGTATCGATATACCACATTTCATCATAATAATACTTCATAGCAATGATTATAATAATTATTATACATTGTACTCATTATCTGTCTTCTTATGGGCTAAGAACCTACAGCTAATTTTGGAAATCGGTGCAACTTACAGATTGGTAATCTGCTAGTAGATAACTGACTAAACTTTAGGTTGCGTGGGCAATGCCTGAATTCCGAGAACAATAATATCAATTCAGGTTCCTTGCAATGGTGTGTTTGTCGTTATTTTCTTACAATGATTAATAAAACTCAGTAATTTAATAGATAAATAATCAAGGTCTCAGTAAGTGTTATCAGCCTCAGCCTTCAGCTCGGCAGTTAAAACTTTCCTCGACCTTGATTATTCCGGATATCTCAAAAACCTCATCCAATAATTGTTTATTGTTGTTATCATTATCATTATTGTTATTGTTGTTGTTATAATTTATGATTTTAACCTAGCCAGGGAAAGGGTTATTGAGGCAGATAGTGATGTCAAGCTACCCATGGGATAAGCCAGTTTCATGTATACATGCCCATAGAGGGATCCGGGGGACTTGGGTTAATTTTTGCTGGATATGTGCCGCTGGCTCTCAGAGCCCCTACCCCATTTTAGTCTATTTTTTGGCCAATGATAGACCCCATCTTAGTCACTTTTTGGAAAATGTAATTTCCACAATCCCAACTTAGTCACTTTCTATTAATGCATCTACCTTGTCAATCTTTTAAAAAGATCATCCAAAAAGTATCTTCGATGGACGATAACAATCCAGTAGAAAAGCACATGCCGTAGCACTGATGACACTGATGTTTCAGTGGACTTTGTTCTAGACGCGTGATTTTGTGCTATTGAGTAACTGGTGTTAAGTTGTGGTTTCAAGAACGGAATGTACTGCGGTCAATGCCAGCTTATTGTTAAACTTAATAACAACAACTTTCTGATCTTTTTAACCGAGAATCTTCCCATTTTGAATCCCTACGGCTACTTACCCCAAAAATCCGAAAATGTGCGACCCCATTCCAGTCACTCCAGTCGTAAAAATGCGACCCCATCCAGCGGCAAATCCCCATTAGCCTCTTGTAAGGAAGTACATCCCCCCCCCCCGGAAGAGGGACGAGTGGAGAAAATGGTGCCTGTTTTGTTCAATTACGATAAAATTGTTAATTTGCATACCTTAATGGTCATTGGTGCAAGTACATTTTGTCCCAAAACCTGTGGGGTTTGAGCTAGCCTGTTCCAGGCTCTCAGATAGAGGGGAAGACGTGAAAGTAACATGCATGGGAAAAGTTGGCGGGCACCTGCTCTCCCCAGTTTCCTCCCGTTTTATTTTCGTGTTTGCGCTATCTCAATTCAGCGGACCCGACTATCTCGGAGCCTGGAACAGGCTAGGGTTGATCAAGATCAGGTCAAATTTGTTTTCAGGTTAAAAATTTTCAACCTAGGCTGATTCTTGATTTCCTTTGTCTACTATAGGGCTAGAGGACAAAGGAAATTGAGAATTAAACTTAGTATAGGTTAAATCAAAATTACCCGAGATCAAATTTGGTATATATTTTAAATCCCTGGAGCACTCCTCTTGGTCTGCTAAGCCCAAGAAAAATTTCCACTTGCATGCATAGCTCAAGAAAAGTATGCTCATTGTTGTGTGTTAAGCCATGTAGCCTGAAGATTAAGGCAAGCATATGCATATTTTTCACTGTAGCTATAGTATACTGAGAAGAGAGTGAGACCATCTTTATTGCCTAGTATTTGCATAACTTTGTCATCTAGGTTGGCTTGGTTAAAGAAAAAACTCCTTCAAGCTACATCCAAGCAAGTTTAAGATTAAATTAAGGCTAATTATTTTATAATTATATTATTCTGTTTATTATATTATCATTATCATTGTACTTCAGCCGGTATTCACTCAAATGTTCTTCCCATTGCAAAACCAATGGCCATCTATCTGCCCATGCAACTATAAACTAAGGCTAAATAATTCTCACCACTTAGAATGAGAATCAGGCCTCATTCCGTTCAAAAGGTCAGGTCTTCAAGTAGAAAGGGTAATGTCCGACACATCACCATAACTCATACGGACTAGAAAAGCTTTCGGGCATACATTATATGGACTTTCTATGTCATTCTTTAGCTTCAAAATGATAATCTTTGACATCTTTGGTATTTTATTTGTCCATTCATCATAGACCGACCGCGGGTAGAATGTCCTCAGACATAGGGCATATTTTAGTTAGACACTGCCCTTGCAATGACTGACTGTTTTACTGTTATTTGCAGCTCTGAAAGGTGGATACTGATTTTCACTTCATAATCACACAACTCAGTATTTTGCTGTACAGCTATGAACATTCTATTTTTAGCTTTACTTTTGACTCTCGTATTCCCCATTTTAACTTTTTAACAGTTTCACGAGAACAGAAACTCCCCCAGATGAGCTAGTGGAAGTTCCAAAAGAATACAAAGGTTTAGTGTTCGGCAAAGGGGGCAAAAATCTAATGGATATCAGTAACAATACAGGAGCAAAAGTAATTCGTAGAAACGGAGAAGTCTTCATTATTGAAGGTACAGAGGAAGCAAGGGAGAAGGCAAGAATAGAAATCAAAGTAAAAATTGTAAGTAAATGAATAAGCTGAATGTAGTAAATGAATATAGCGGAATTTCCGCCCGCGCGAAGCCTCCATTGCTATCGATGCGAGGAAATTTTCTTTTGACGCCAGCGTACGCTCGTCTGCCCTCCTCCCGTACAGACTCTGGGGCTGGGGAAGAGGAGACTAAGTTAGGGAGGGGAAGAGTCCAAGATATGCACCTTGCATTTGTCCAGACGAAAGTTGGCCAGTCTAAAGGAAACCTTCTGTTTAAGTCTGTGTTTGACCTACAAAAAAAACAAAAAATAAACCTGGTCAAAATCTTGACAGGTGAATTCATACATTAAAAAGTACCCAACATCTGGAAATGAGGGACTTTAAGCAAGGATTTCGGAAGCTTCTAGTACGTTGACCGGAAGTACTTTTTTCCCGCCAGGTGTCAATGCCTCAAGTAACGACTTTAAAGGAGCTGTATAACGAAATTTATCAAACTAGCACTGTGGGAAACATAAACATAACCGCTCAAAACATTAAAAGAAGTTATAAATACCACATCAGATACAAAAGTAGGCACGAATGGACACATTTGAAGACAGAGATTTTAAACAGATTGGAATTGCGAAGCAGATCTGTCTTCGACTTAAGCTCATTATGTCTTGAACTATCCGTCGATTCGTCCATCTATCCTTTCAACCATCCGTGCATTTGTATATGTCATTATTCCTTCATTCCCTCTTATCATTCAGAGCACTCGCTTTACTGGTGACAGTTAAAACTGGAGTGATGGAAAATGGTGACTGGAGCACCGTTCTAATCTATAAGCTTTAACTTTAATATTATTGGAAAGTCATATAAATATCTGTTACACTCATGAAGGCATCGTTTATTGCTAGGCTGGAGCGAGACTCAGAGGTCCAGGAAACAAATTCAATAAGTTCGGTGTCTACATCGATGGCCTCAATCTCCCAGAGAACTGTAAACTAAAACTCGAGCAAGTGAGTCATGAAGATCGTGTTGTTATCCCGGAGTCGTATACACAATACCGCCTGAAACCGGTCAAGGAGTTAATGCAACAGGTATGCCTTTTTTCTGTCGTATACAAAGTGAAGGAGCTCTGTCGGTAGTCAACGTGAAATCGAAGAACAACGAACTTCTAAACTTCTAAGAATTTTAGCTGATTGATCAATCAAATTAAACTGCATATTTACACGCATAGAGACAAATCGCATTATTACTAGTATTTTTTTTTAACACCACCAATAATAATACGGCTAAGACGAAAGAAAAGACGAAACGTTTTACAGGTAACAAGAGCATGCAATTCTCGGAAAGTAGCCATTGTTCAACTGATATTAATGCAGGCTGATATTTCTCATCATTCTTTGTCACTGAGTGAAAGAATAGAATTAAAAGATCAATTTGATTCATTGCTGGGAACCTCTCGACACCGGCTTTACATAAGGTAAACCTGACAGAGTCTTCTGTCCCGGATAATTCATCGCACCTGAGTAGATCGAATGAACACAAATTATCATTGAATATGACTGATAACACATTCTCATCTTACTTTTTTTCTCCTTATTCAAACGCTCTAAAACTGTGTTTGGTAAACGAAAAATACTTGTTGTTCAACACGTCAGTACAAATTCTAGTACTAGATAATTATTGAGCACGTGATGTTGGACGATTCCAGGTGTTGCACCTTTAGATTAAACACAATTTTTTAAATTAAAAAACAGAAACACAAATGTTTTCGCTTTACTTAGAGATAAGGTGTTTAATAGCGTTTTTGGTTCCTGCTTTATATAGTTTTCAATGTTGTTGGGTCATGGAAATTATCAACACAAGAAGCAGTTAAAAATTATGCAAGTGAAAATTATTATAGTTGTTTATAGTTGTCTGTTGTACTCTCATTCTTTAGGAAATTAGCACTCCCACTGATGAACCAATCTACCTATTAAATCTCTTCAATGATGCTTTGGAATCTCTTCGAAGGATAAAACAGGAAATGACCACAAAAGAGAACCTGAAAGCCGATATGTGGTGTCATTTTGGAAAGGCCGTCATCCGAGGACCTGACAAAGGTAATATCGCATGTGAGTCCTGTAATCTTTTGTCTGATCCATCAGGTGAAAAATTGTGGCTAATTCTCTAGCTTGTCAGTCTGTTGTTCGTTAGTTCATTGAATACTCCTGCTCTATGGGTTGATTTCCACTTTCGCGCAATTTCTTCGCGCGAACGCACGTAAAATTTACCGGCGTAAATGAAATGGAGGCAATGTATTAAAGACTACGCGGGGTAAACGTGAAAGTTGAACAAGGGTCACTTTTTACGTTTACGAGTGACCTTTCATACTTTGCCTCTATTTTACTTACGCGCTTAAAATTACGCGACAGTGGAAATCCACCTTAAGAGAGTAATTGAAGAGAGCCCAGGTTAAAACCCTTGACTTGTGAGCTGATTTTGCGTTTTGCTTTATCCTTATCAGTTTTTATTTCCCCATTTTCCCCAAGCCTTTAATTGCCTCTTATTTTGGTGTGGAGCACGTGTGGGTGGGGGAGGGGTAGTAAGGGGATCATAAGGACGGGAACGGACCAGCTCTGATGTTTAAATATTCTGTCTTTCTTTTTTGTATCTTAATGTCATGAAATATGCAGAAGAAGCTGATCGAGGAAGTTGGAATATCGATGACGCAACGAACAAGTTTAAATCATCACTTGGAGGAAACTTATGGAAAACTGCATTGAAATCAGGAGTGAAATTGGACGCGAACGTCCTGGAAAGACATATTTGCGATAAAACTCCAGATGAGTACGTCAATTATGCTGCAAGATATGAGTTAGCATTTGTAACCCCGTGCGGCTATCAAGTGATATTGAAGGTGAGGTTCAAAATTCATTTCGTCACTTACACGTGTATCGCTTTTTTTGCTAATACTTTATCCTTTTTATCAGAAGCGCGTGCCACTTTGCAGCTGGAATAAAGGATGGCAGGGTTTTTGGCCCAGATGCCAAAACCTTAACGAGGCATCCTAGGTTGAGTGTACGCGTAAAAGAACTAACAATTGGCATATACGGAATGTATGCCAGTGACGTTTTCCATATTGTCTGGAGACAGAATTTGGTTAGGTCGACATTTCGTCAATAAAAAAATTAAGCCATAGTCGAACGGTTAACAGAATAAATAGGAAATCATTACGGCGCACCATGCAATGATAGTTAATCAGCGAATAGCTACAGGAGTCATGATATTGACCTGATCTTATCTTGATATATAAAAACAAGAAATCTGACACAAATTAATTTGACAGAATATAGATCACAACTATGCGTCGCTAAGCGAACTTCAATTCAAAATAGTATATGTAGAATGATTTAGTAGTTGCGAAGTGAACAACGAAATAGAAACCTGTCAATTTTGTTGTGTCGAGGCTTAATTTAGCAAGTGTTTACGTAAACTGCAAACGAAGGTGCCATAACCAAACTCTGTGAGGAGGTTCTTACTAACATAAAAACACTCAGCTACTACCAGTTTAAAAAAACAATACAAGCGAATTCTGCTCAACTCTAAAAAATAACAGTGTCAAAAAATGACTGTTTCACATAACCCTCCATAGCTGCACCTAGCGCACATATTAAGTATTTTCATTCATAATAATTTATAACGGTAGCAAGTTCGAAAGATACGCTCCTCTGACCACCGTCACTTTTCTCAAAGCCATTCACTTCTACCTTTTTTATCTTATTTGTCAGTGTTCCAGCCAGAGTGCGCCATTGCGTGAATCCCGCAAAAGATTGAGAGATGGCCCCCACCAAAAGCGTTGAAGGGCCATTATGGCCCTTTCCTTTTTTAATTGCCACAATAATTTTCCAATTAAACAGAATTTTTAATCTAAAGAACAACGACTCGGTACCTTTGTACACAACATGAAAATCAATCGATGAATCTTCTTGAGTCTACCTGATTTACCATGAGTGGTCTGGAGACCACTGAGCCTCGACTTAGCTTTTGTAATATCACGGAAGCTCATGGGTATCCATCATGGCGTCTTGAAAAAGGATAAACCTGACAAGCGCATCTTCGAGGTCTATCAAAAGCTTTCTCTCAGTAAGTAGTGAAAAAGTGGATGGAGGTGCAGCAGTTCAGAAGAAGCGAATGGAAGCAGATCTTGACGGTGAAGTGGAAAATGAGATGAAAAAAATTACCTACTATTTTTATTGCATACATTCTGATTGTACTGTTTGCTTTATTGCCGAAGATTTCCTCTATTGTGTATAAAAAGGGATCCTCGATGTCAGCTTCAAATAAACTGCCATTTTCATTTCCTTAACTTTCTAATTGTTTCTTCTCGTTTGCATATTAGAGAGATACTGGTACATTGGCCCTTTCTTGAAATATCTGGCCCCCAAAAATGGGTTGTAGGGGCCACTTTGGCCCTCAAGCCGAATTTTCTGGCTGGAACACTGTATTTGTTATTTGTTTGTTGTGTTATTCTCTCAACAATGTAAGTTTTATATTAAGTGTAAATAATAGACTGAAACTGAAATTTGACCTTGTTTAACATTGTTGCTTCCGCGCAGGCGGATCACGCCTTAAGTCCTAGGTCTGCAATATGGATGCAGTTCAAATGCAGTTCTATTTTTTTCCACTGGAGTGCCAGATAAGTTGTGAGCTAAACGTAAAAGCCAGAGATCTGAAACCATTTAGACACATTCGCCAGCACCACGTTACTCCTCCAACTTTGTTGGGTGTTGTAAAGACTGAGATACAACCACACCATCCAAAGTTTTTAAGAAAACGTTTATTAACGCGAATAACAAAATAAAGGTCGAACTGCGTCCTGAGATGCCATGATTTCGATTTCTGTTGCATGCTGATGACATCTTTCTCCAACAGGAGACCTCACCTAATTTTTCGGACGGTAGCTCTTATTCTCTTGTCAATAATAGAACTGAAAGCACCGTGCGACGAGATTTGCGTCGGCTTCTACTAAAAAAGCTACAAAATTTTAAGTTACTGTTAGATTTTTCGTTGTTATTACACAGGTGTGGGTCAAAAAAGGGGACGTCGGCAAAAAACTGGAAGATATACCAGCTCCTTTTAGTGACGTCAAGAATATTTTGAAGGAAATAGAATTCAAAGATGAAATGACACGTTCACGATGCAAGGGATGGCTGATTCTACCATCTCGCAAGTACCTGCAAGCAGACATTTTGTTTCCTGGCTGCGCATTTGATTGTAGGCTCCATATTCGTGGAAGGATTGGTACGATTAAGTGTAACAGCTGTGAATACGTTAATAGAAGCGTCACATTACATGCATTTATAGCCCAGTGTTAATACTCGACCGTTATGTCTATTTATCTTGGAAAAGAAAACACGCAAATATTTAACAATTATTCGCCGAAGGCGAAGTTAATATTGTTGAATAATCCCCGAGACGAAGTCGAGGGGATTATTCAACAATATTAACTGAGCCTGAGGTGAATAATTGTTTTAGTATATTCACACGAAGTGATCTCAACAGAATCAGAAAGGAAACCATTAAAAAACGATTAGTTTGATTGACGGGTGAATTCATGCGTGAACACGAAGCCGTAAACAGTGGATGCGCAAAAGTTAGATCTTGACAGTATCTTTAAAGAAGGCAAATGATAGTTTTAATCTTTTTGTATCCAGTTTTGTAACCTTTAGCATCAACGGTTTAAAAGAAAACGCCGAAAATTTAAATTACTATCCAATTCTGAGAAGAAAAGTAGAGCTTAATTTGTTTCTGTCAACTCACCTTGAACAATGTTGAATGAGAAAGTTTTCTTTGTGGCTTCTTGCAAATGCTGTCAACAGTTGCTACGATCAAGGTGATCGTTGTTTATCTCCAATGTTCTTTGGCTTGGTAACTTCCTGGCACGTACAATTTTCGAAAATATTTGCCTTCCTCTGTTCTCCATAAATTAACTTCTATTTATAGGCAAAATTGGTCTTGCGAGAAAATCCCGAAATCACAAAACAGTGACAAAGCGACCTCGTTTTCCTCTGTAGTGGTAAACATAGCTTCGAACGTACAAAAGGTCAGCTACAGTAAACCACTTCCCAATAAATCACGCTGTTTAAACACCATGAAGTCTTTTCTTGCCTTCAAAGTCATCAGCACTTGGATATTCGTGTATTTTCAGAAAGGCTTTACCCTGGGCTTTACTATGAAACTCTGGCAAAACACCCAGTTCACGACAGCGATTTTGTTCTGCTTTATATTCACCGCCTAGCGCGGTGAATATAACGTCATAGTCCGAGATAGCTAACCAATCAGATTGCTTGAATTACCAAGATCACTGAGTGTGTATATACTAAAATAACATATTACATATTGGTATAACACCTTTGTGTACTATTTTAAGCTTTAACTTGCCCGAAGTGTCCTAATTGCCCGTTTGAAAAATTCAGACACTGAGTGTCACTGTCATCTTGGTAAGACATTGCCCTAGTTCATTCACCCCGTTGTGCTAACCTTATGCACCTCGGGACTGGTAAATCAAGTGTTTATAAACATTTTTTTGTATATGTGCCAAATTTCTTGTATGAAAGTAGTTTTGTTAGCAGCAGAGATACCTCGCCCATATTTTTCTTCTGTAAATGAATCTTTTGCACTAATTTGTGATGCATTGGTCTCTCATCATGCAGACAATGCTCTTGTGGCAGACTACGCACCTAAGACAGAGGTGATACAGACACTGGCAAGATACGTATCTGACCTGACTTTAACAGATGAAGAGGGAATTGGATTTTGTCGACTACCAGAGGGGAAAATACCCCACGGATTTCATCTTACTTATAGACGGTGCTCCAAACGATCTGTGTATGAAATTAGTCCAGGCTTCACAACCATTCTTTCTAAGGAAAACTCCTGGCGAAGTGACGGGCTGAACAAGGAATCAAGAGAATCGGTATAATGAAATTATGACCATTTCTCGACTATTTTGTTCTTAGAAAACTTGAAGTAGATGTGTCGCCATGTCATAAACGATTGCAGAAGAAGATTTACTGAAACACACATCCGGCTGCGTAGTATTTAAAGGAGCTGTGTCACGAAATTTAGCCAAATTAGGTAATACAAAATGCCCGTTAAATTAAGGGAAACATAAAAATAACCGCTTGAAACATTAAAGGAAGGTTAAAATAACACAACAGATACAACAGATGCCACGGATGGGCAAAACTGAAGAAGATTGAAACGGATTGAAATTAGTGTTGTTGAAAACTGTTTAGCCTAACAGTTTTTCAAAGTTGATCCCTGCTGCTAGCAACTTCAAATATAATGCTCCGGAGACATATTTGTTTGTCTCGGATCTCTGATTTTGTCATCTACGTGTAATTTCTTTGCTTACTTTAAGTTCCATAGCGACTGAGGGCGAGTGATTGGCAAAATTAAACAAAATGAACTGGACTGCCGTGACACAGCCCCTTAAAGTGATTCAGGTTTACCTGAACTACGATAATTCTTAGCATTATCAATTCATTATTTAATTATTTATTCACTGCTCTGGCAGACCGACCTACACCTTCACTGCAGAGAGTGGGACAATTTGCTTAATAATGGAGACTGGAGCCCGGAAGTGATAGCTGGGACACTACCAGAGTTTTTTCGCTTCGTGAAGAAGGTGCAAGCAATTGTCTTGGAGGGAGAAGGTAAAAAGTATTAACTATGGTTTTGTGCAGACAGTATCTTAGGATTTTATACAGAAGCCTTAAGATCGTTATATTTTGTGTCACATGACAATCTGCTAGAAGTAGAATATAAGCACATGCAGCTTTCGACAGCAATTTTTTTTTATCAGGCGCCACTATTCTCAACTTCAATTCTGACTGCTCCAAAAATTGATACACCTCATTAACTCACTTGAGTAACAATCGTTATGAACACGCCACAGCCGTGACATACCGCCGCCGCTCTCCCCCCCCCCCCAAAAAAAAACAACAACAACAGCTATTGGTAAAAAAGGGACCGTGAATAACCCGTTGGGTTTTTTTATTCATACTACGTGTATTGCGTGCTTTCGAAAATGCCCATTATCCTTTATTTATGTCTTGTTATTGTAACGTTTATGTTATGGACCAATTGTGTTTGTAGGGTCTATTATTATATGGCTGAGTCTGTTTTCGCCATTCGATTGGTCAATTTGCAGTCCGTAACGTGCTATACGGACCAAAATTTTTAAAGAAAATTCTCATTTCGGAGCTCTAAATCTCTTTTCCTCGGAAAAAAGGTTTAAATAAAGTTGTAAGACGCCTGTTAACCTTAAGGACTTGGATGTTGACTTTGGCCTTCAACATTTTAAACTGTGTTTATTTGTGAACGAAAGCGATGAAGAAGCTAACTCGTAATCTTATCGAAGAGGATTCTAGTCAGTGTTTGAAAATTTTATCGTAGTACACAGTTAAGAAGATGAAAATCGACTGGCAGAGATTCGAGATGTTTTGCCTTAGAGAAAATGAGTAATTCCTTCGACAAATATGATAACAAACATGCCTGCACCCGATCATCTTGACAAGCTTCCAAAGAAAGAAAGATAGAAGCGACTTCGAGTCAGACACAATGTCCAGTTTTCAAAAGACTCCAGCGCCACATCAACGAGTGAATTCTTACAGTGCTCTTAGTTTTGACCGAATAAACTTTAAAATATGTCTGTAAAACCTGGGGACTGGGATGTTGACATTGCCTTTCCAAATTTTAAGCTGTAGCTTTGTTTTAATGATGTAGAAACTGAATCATAACCTTACCGAAGAAGAGAATTCTAGTCAGTGTTTGAAAATTTCAACGCAGATCACAATTGAAGACGAAAGTAAACTGGCAGAAAGAGAGGTTTTTCCAAAAACAATTAACGAGCGAATCCTTCGACAATGACAACAAACTTACCTTGAAAAGCTTCTTTGCCTTTCGCAGTGTTTTTTTTTCACAAAGACAAACGGAGCAAAGACGGAAAAGACTTCTAGACAGACACAGTGTCCGGTTTCCAAAATACTCCAGCGTTACATTAAAGAGCTAAAGCTTACAGTGCTCTTAGTTTTGACCGAATAAACTTTTTCACTGACATGGCGAATTTGTTTTTACTTTCTCGGAAAGCCTTTGTTATGTGCTATTGTTTTCGTGCGCCAATAAAAACTTTCTTTTTTGACGCCTGTCAAATGACTGTCAAATCGTGCGTCCTGCACTTGTTTCCGGTCCCCCAAACAGGAAGAAGCCATATAATAAACATCTTACTAGCCTCGTTTTTTCGATCCGTACTGTAAATTACGGATCCTCTTTTTTTCCATCGATTTATGGCCCGCGCGCTTCGCGCTTGGGCCATAAATCGATGAAAAAAACTCGGTCCGTAGTTTACAGTACGGACCGAAAACTCGGCTAATAAGAGGTATTTATACCATGCCAATCAGAAAGCTATAAACCCATTGGATATTCTGCGGTATTCGATTTAGGTTTCTGGGAAACTGCCTGCTTACCCCTCCCCTAAGCCAACATTTTGCCCAAAGTGAGCAGTAAGTGTTAACGTTGGCAAAGGTAGGGGTAGGTGGGCAGTTTCTCAGAAACCTAAGTTGATCCCGGTATTCAACGGGTAGTATTTCAAGAAAAAAATCCCAGCGATGATGACGGCCCCTATTTTTCCGCCGAAAACAGAGAATATAGCGACAGCCAAAACGTTTCATGCTACACCAGTGGTGGATCCAGGGAAGGTCTGGGTCCAGCACTGTACACAAATTTGCAGAGGTGTTATTCTGAACTTAGTAAATAACACTTTAAAACCCGAGAACCCGAGAAAAAGTTATAGTAATACCTGAGAAAACGAAATCAAACAGACTACAATGGAAAAACAAGTGGGGTGGAACCTTGATGTAACTAACGGCCAAGAGACTGGCAAAATTTGTTCGCTATAGCGAGGTTTAATCATACCAAGGTTGTTTTTCACAAGTTTTTACTATTTTTGGGGTAAAGAAAAACGTTCGTTATACCGAGGACTTTGTTATGTAGAGGTTTGTTATACCGAGGACTTCGTTATGTAGAGGTTCGTTATATCGTGGTTCCACTGTTAGGGAATTTTTAAGCCGAGAGCAACCAATGTTGTGGACTAGGCCATCATGGATCCTCATTTTGAAGGAACAAGCCCAACTGAAATTCCCCAGAAACATTCGAAAGCTCCCTTCCCTGTATCCCCTTTTCTTCAGAATGCAGGTAAAGTATACAACGGTGAATACGAACTTTTCTCATTGACAAGCTGTCGAGCATTTGGGCAATGTTGTTTTCAGTTAACGTTTCGTTGAGTGGCATGGGATAAATTAGTTATGCGATGCTCTCTCATGGTATACCGTGAACATCCCTCTTGAGACTTTATTTTTCTTTGTATACACACTGGCCTAAAGGCTCGTATTTATACTTAGAAACATCAAGCCACTCGTGGGATGTTTTACGGTATAACACTCGAAAGAATGGCATAGCTAGTAGATAGTATAAATTACTTCAATATTGTACCTGTATACATTTTGTATATTTTTTTCTCTAAACTCTTTTTGTGAGGTCCATAAATTAGAAACCTGTTAAAGGTTATAACATCTCTCTCAATGAGTAAAGTTAATTGTGTTGTGTTGATAATGTATTTAGATTTAGGATCGAGAGCCATTGGTTTTTAGGCTGATCTATTGTTAAGCATTACTCTCGTTAAATAAAGACTAACTTTATAGTTTTTTATTATAATTATTAAAAAACTATACAATCTGGTAGGTTCAAGAGGTCTCTTCAAAAGTGTATAGAGTATCATTTCAGTTAATAAACCCTGCAAAATGTAGCACCTTGAGAACTGACGAAATTTTGTCGTAAGTTAATGACAAGCCATTTTACCGCTCACGTCTCTTTTTTACAGTTAAAGATGATTTTAAAGTTAAGTTTTAACATTATGATAAAGTCAAAAACGTGAACTAAGACATTAAGCGAAATTAAAGGCGACTATTGGGTTTTCATTGTTTTCGTTTTTGGTTGCAGTTCCTCCCGAGATACTTGCGCGGGGTCTTGCAGCGGTAGAAGCCTACAACAAGGCCCTTTTAAGTGGAAAAACCCTTCTCAAAAGGCTTCCGTTAATGCTTATTGGTCAGGACCAAGCAGGAAAGACCAGTTTAAAGAAATCTTTGAGAGGAACCTTTTTCGATCCGGAGGAAGACAGCACTGATGGCATAGATGTGGATTCTTCTTTCTTCAACGTGTGCACAGAGACATGGAGGACTGGAGAACAGGATAAAGGACAAAATTCAGTTAAGGAGATTTCCTTTGATTATCAAACTGCACGACGTATTGCAGATAGTCTGAAAAAAGAAAGGAAAAGTACCAAAGAAAACACAGTCACAGAGAAGGAGTCAAGTCTGTTCGATTCTGATAGTGCTAACGTAGAACCGGACAAGCGAAACACTAAGTCATCAACAGCTGGAGAAAACCGTCAGAAAGCTAGATATCCACCCCCTACCACCAGTATAAAGATACCCAGTGTTGCCCCTGATCGGAAAGAATCAAAGCCCGTAGGGAACTTTTCAGCTTTAGATGTTCCTGATGAGGTGGCGTCTGTGGCTGAAACGTTACTCCAAAGTGACAGGGAGGATAATGAAGACGACGTTTATTCAACTTTCTGGGATTTCGCTGGTCAGTCTGTTTACTATGTGACACATCCACTATTCCTTACGAAGAAAGCCTTATACTTCTTAGTGTACGATCTGACCTTAAATCCACACGATGAAGCTAAGCCTTTGGTGAAGAGTGGAGTATACAAGAAGACTCTGGAAAGCTTCAGTAGTCTAAAGACCAATTTAGATTATCTGGAGTTTTGGATGAAGTCGGTTGCGTCTCTAGCCAGTCAGGGGGAATGTCTGAGCTCGGAATTGCTACCAGAGAAACTTCCTCCAGTTTTCTTGGTATGCACTCACGCAGATACACCTTACCGCGGCCGTGATCCGAAAGACCTTGCCATCGAAATCTTTGGTTTACTAAAAAATAAACCATTCGGTTGCCACCTGCATGACGTGCCGTTCTTTGTAGATAACACACGTTTGCGAAACAACAATTCTGAGTGCTCACAAGTCCAGCTCTTGCGGAAGGAATTAGTTTCCGTCGCCAAAGAGCTACCGCTAAGCCACGACACCATTCCAATCAAATGGCTAAAATTTGAGAAGGCGCTTCAAGTAGCAAAGAAAAGGGGACACAAGTCCATTACTCTGGAGACAGCAAAAGACATTGCAAAAGCCTGTGATATTGATGAAGACAAAGAGATCAAAACCCTGATGGACTATTTGCACGACCTAAGAAGTTTAATCCATTTTGACGACAACGCAGACCTTAATAAGTTGGTGGTTTTAGATCCTCAGTGGTTGGTTGACGTTTTTAAGAGAGTGATAACTGTCAAACCGTATGATCCGTATGATCGTAAAGAAAAGAAAGTCGTAAGCTTATGGTGTAAGCTTGAGAAGGAAGGAATCCTGGATGAAACACTTTTGAGACATGTGTGGGGCCCCTTGTTTGACAACGAAGACGAGCAAACCTTCCAGATTCTTATAGAAATAATGAAGAAATTTAGTTTGCTGTGCCCATGGCCTTTAGGTGGCAAAAACAAGAGTTACCTTGTCCCATCAATGCTGAGATCACATCCACCAGAGGAGGTTCTTGGGCTGGTTAAGAAGGCAAAAGTTCCTTCTCTTTTTGTCAAATTTTTAAACGGCCAGGTGCCTCCAGATTTGTTTCCACGTCTGGTTGTGCAGTTTTGTCAGTGGGTCAAAGACGAATGCAAGATAATAGAACAGCCTCAGTTGTTCCATGAGTTTGCACGACTTATTACATCTAAAGATGGCGACTCGGTTATCCTTATCTGTCACTCCTCAGTCGTTGAAGTTGTAGTTCTCGGAGATGATGACAGTCACAAATTGGCAGAACGTCTGTCAGCAAACATGACATTATCAACAGACGTCCAGGTTGAAACCACTAGGTTAATCTGTCCTAGTGATGTTCACAGGCAACTAGTTTCGATACTTGAACGCATGCACAATGAATCTCGCTGGCAACGAGATATGAGTTACAAAATTAGTTTCTTATGTCCAGTCTGCTCTCCTAAAGGAGTTGTTAGCTACTGTCAAAATCATGGTAATGAAAAATGCAAAGAAGAAGAATGTCTGCACTTCCTGTGTGAGTCAGAGCTGCGCAGTGCCAAAGAAATAATAGTTTGCCCCAAGGCTTCCTTTTCTCCGAATCTTAGAGTGCAAGTGAAGCTATTTGAACCTTGGTTTGCTTCTTCAACAGAGCAGGTATGTTAATAGCGTAGGACATGTTTCGATCCTACCAAGGACCATCTTCAGCGACAAATCTACGTTGCCGAATTACTGTTACTTAACGCGAACGACCAAAAAACCGGCTAACCGCGTCAGTACAGGAACGGTACAATTTATAATTAAAGCAGTGCTTATAACAAAATCGTCTTCGCTAACTCTAACTCGCTGAGTCTCATGGACACTTTTTCAAGCGTGTTCACGACTTTCTCTCTCTTTTAGTTTCTGTTTATCATTTAAGATCTGTTTTTGTACAGACTCATGAACATTGTAATTATCCCCATGGTTAACGCTGCGGTAAACATTCCGAACGTGAGCAGTAATGATACTGTTGAGCAGGCCAGAAGTAACGTTTCCGCAACAGAATTAAAGAACGCCATTTTTTTAGCTTTAGAATCAGTGGAAACTAAGAAAAAGTACGAGTATACTCCATGGTCCTTGGAAGCACAGATGCAAAAGTCCTAGAACTTTTAGAAATTTTACCCTCTGTAGAACACTGTTTCTTTCTGTACTAACGGGAAGACAAAAGGTTAAGGGTACGGCAGGTCTGTGGTTTTAAGTTTCCAAGCCAGTGTTCCTCACCTTCCATACACCAGGTTTTATAACACAGATTTGCTCTACGTTCAGGCCATTGAAATGGAAAACAAAAATAATTAGGAACTAACAACTATATGTGATTATAGTTATCGGTATCTTTTGTTTTTTGCAGGGTTCGGGCCTGCCCAGCTCAGATGGCACAACGAAAGAAGCGCGAGTCCAAAGTATTCCAGCAAATTGTGCGAGAGAGTTGAACATCACCCTGTTGGCGAGTGAGTGGAGTTCATCCATGGGTGGCTTGTCAACCTTAAATAGAGAGCTTGCAGTTTTACTAGCGAAGCAACCTCAAGTCAATGTCACTGTCCTTGTTCCGCAAAACGCTTGTTCTGAAGAAGATAAGAAGAGCGCGTCACATTCAAATGTTACCATTCAGGAAGCAAAGGTGCGTCCAGGCTATGATGATCCCCTAGACTGGTTGTGCTCTCCACCAAAAAGCCTTTCAATCGATGTCATTGTGGGCCACGGTGCCAAGCTAGGCAAACAAGCCCAATTTATTACCGAGTCTCATAGTTGTAAGTGGGTGCAGATGGTGCACACGGCACCTGAAGAACTTGGAATGTACAAGGAGTATCCTGGGGCAGTTGCTAAAGGTGAAATGAAGAATACAGTTGAAGTAGATTTGTGCCAACTGGCAAATCTTGTTGTTGCTGTTGGGGCTAAGTTAAAGGATGCCTATTCATCCTACCTTCGGTACTATCAGAAAACCCAGGATCTCATTCAACTGATTCCAGGTGTATTCGACGAGTACAAAACAGTAAAGCAAGAATCCCAGGAAGGGAAGACGTTTAAGGTTTTAACCTTTGGCCGCGGTGATCCTGAAGACTTCAACCTCAAGGGATACGACATTGCTCCGAAAGCAGTAGCTGAACTAGAGGACAACTCCTATTGTTTGGTTTTTGTTGGTACACCCAAAGGGAAACAGGATGAAGTCACGAAACGTTTGCTCGAGTATGGAATCCCTAAAGATCAGCTTATTGTAAGGGAGTTCATTCAAAGTAAAGAAAGGCTGAAAGCACTGTTTTGTGAGGTTGACCTTGCCATCATGCCTTCCAGAACAGAGGGCTTTGGATTGACAGGTCTTGAAGCATTGTCCGCTGGTCTTCCCATTCTAGTAAGTGGCAATTCAGGATTCGCACTTGCACTGCATACTCTTCCACAGGGGCATTCATTCGTTGTGGAATCCAAAAACCCTAATGACTGGGCAAAGGCAATAGCCTCTGTTCGTCAGAAAGAAAGGGCAAAGCGTCTTCAAGAAATCCAATCCTTGCGAACAAATTATGAAGAGATGTACAATTGGGAGAAACAGTGTACATCTCTTGTCAAGAAACTTTTGAGTTTGACTAAAGGTGAGCTTTCACTCTATTTATTTTATCAACTGTTAAGAAAGAAATGAACGGTTAAACGTTATGTGAATGTTTCTCAGGTTTACAGCAACAAAGGTACTTTTCAAACATACCCTAGTAAGATAAAGGGGACAGACGGCCAATTGTTGTTGCTGAAAAAATTTAAATATCTTTAAGTCGTCTAGCCGTTTCTAGTTAGCGAAGGTTGATTATTCCGTATCGTCACACACGGATTGGTCATCTGTGGCTTGAATTTTCAGGACTTACGTGGACCATGTGTATTGGGGCTTCATCGGTAAAAAAAGTGGGATCACTCACAATAATTACGTGTTTCTATACGTGTATGTGTGCACAGTGTACTTGTATGTATATTGCGTTCTGCTGTAGCACTCAGAATGGTACATAAAAGTACTCGGAGAAGGGAAAGACTTGAGCACTACATTGCAGTATGCTGGCTTTTGTGAGTTCCAAACAGTGCACCATAAAAATCGGAGGAGTGAAAATTGACGAAATGACGTTAAAACTGACTAGACGACAAGAGACGGCTATGAAGTAAAGGCAAGGCGGCTTTACCTCTATAAATTAAGAGGTCATGATGATTTGATAATTTTTAAACCAATGCTTTGCTCATTGAAACCCCATCGAAGATGATTAATCACGGAAGTGATTAAAACTCGAGTCATCAATGACTTATTCGCCTGTGATAATGCAAGGATTATCATTTTTTCTACATATAGGAGAAATTTTCAAGATGGACAAAGTAATAGACGTCATTGGAAAGACATTTTTTCGTGTTTGTTCGAAAAGTATTTCAGATATTACAACTGTCAGGTGGTACGCTTGGGCTGCCTGTGCAACAAAACCTTAATAGCAGATCGCTTTTTCTCACTCTTTCACGTTGTCTGAATCTCCCCTTTTACCAGATTTCATTATCATTTGCTTTTTCTTTCATCCCTCCAGAGACTTAAAGAGTTTGTTCGTGCGACAGGTAGTCGACAGTCAAAGGTTAGTATGTTTTTGTGCATGTTGATTCAAAACAAAGGAGAGGAGATCTTTACCATATAATAAGTTGCAGGTTACTTTCGGACATCATTTTTGTGCTACTGCGCTGCCTATTGCCCTTTCGTAAACGGCAGTTGCCATTAAAAACGGTCGATGCCATCGTTGGTAACCAAGCCTTTAGTCATGATAGATTTTTCCCTGGATTAAGTTACAAATAAGGCAAATTATACGTTTGTAGTCTTAGAAAGAAAGACGTTAAAGCCCAACTTGAATTTACGTTAAAAGTTATGGAAAGGGCTAGGGCCAACTGTTATTGATGTATCAGTTGACAAAGAAAGATTGCTGGTTTATGTGCTAAAATGTTTCTTAATTTTGGCGGGTCGGTGTGGTATTGCGATGGTAAGATAGAAAAGATACGGAAAGTCCGGTTCGAGGTCCGGGTTCGACCCTTGGTTGCGATCTTTTTTCCTTCTAATAGAAACACTCTCAATAACAGGTCAAAAATTTTCCAACTGTCTCAAAAATGGCGGCGACCGTTTACGAAAGTGCACTGCATACTCACAAGTTCGTTACAAATTAATGAAAGAAATTGGGCGAAATATAGCACTTCACACGTTATCACGTTTGCGATCTTCGTAACCTAACTTTTCCAAGGCTTTGACAATCTACCTTTCTTCTCATTTTACAAACACGTGCACAGTTGATTTTTGTCCTAGAGGAGCTTTATAATGCAAAGCTAAAATGCAGGTTATTGTCTCTTCTGGAGTATTCATGAAACAAGGGGGTTTTAGAGAACCTTTTGCTTATCATGTTAGTGTCCAATATATTTGTTTTCGTAGAAGGAAAGATGAGCTTTCACCTTAACCGCTATTTATATGAACTGATAGTGTTGTTTCTTGTTTTATCGTTTTCCTTTACTGCTGAGAATTCCCTAGGAATTGCAGCATAGTGAGCAGCTTTCCGGCTCATACCAGTTTATCACAAGTTCATCTATTTCATAAATACCAGGGGACCTGCCCGTATAAGCAAATTCATAGTCGGGTTTATTTTCTGCCGTAATGTTATTTTCAAAAAGAGCATACCAAAGCAAAGCAAAAGAAGAGTAAAATTATGCACCTGTCTAAACACACTTCTCGTATCCACCAGTTTAATTTCTAAAAATAGCGACTTCGGGGTTCAGCTTCTGTAATTTAGAAGCTTCGATATTTCTTTTGTGGCCCCTTCCTGTTATTATACAGTTGAACCTCAATTAAGCGGCCACCAATGCACGGGGTCCCGACAAGCCTGGCTAATGGAAGTTAGCCGCTCAATAGAAGCTCTTCACAAATTAGCATAAGCTTTAAGAAGCCACCTTCTTTTAAGCAGTCAGTTATCAACGTCCCGAAATAATTGCAGGGAAGACTGTATTACAATTCGGCTATCCACAAGTTAAACATGCATGGAAATGAATGACGTGAAGCTAATGTGTATATATTGATTTATTTAGGAACTGCCAGGAGATGTTGGTGAGACTAGTTTCAGAGACTAGTTAATCCAAAAAACTACAATAATTATCAAGATTCTTAATGATATGATAAAAAAAAATCTGTAAACAGTAGGATTTTAAAAGATAATTGTATATATTTAGAAAATAGAAGGTATTGTAGAATATTTCATCTAACTGTAAGCGCTTAAGATGAAGAAGCAAAAATGTCATTACGAACTGAGCTAAATATGTGAGTTTGTTTGTACGTTATACCACAGTGAACCCAAGCTTTACACAGGTCTACTCCCTTTTATCGTATGCACTATCGTTAAATTACAGACTTAATTAGCAAGGGTTGTTTGTTTAAGCAGTTTAGACCACTTGATTTTCATCAAGGGAACGGTGTCCTTTTTTTTCAAATTTAACCCTATTCGCGTTCAAATGAATGCATGTTTGATATAAGGCAACGAAAAAAATATTCTGAGAACGTCTCGCGGTTTGAAATGGGTGAACCAACAACAACAACAACAACAACATAAGCTTTATTTGCATGACTATAATTATGTAGTTACAGTATTGCAAAAGCTTTAACATAAAAAATAAGAAAACAAACAAACAAACAAACAAATCATAACAATGATAATGCAATGCAATAATTACTGTAGTCAATCAAGTGTGATCGGCATGATTGGATAACAAATTATTACGTAAATCATTACATAATGAGAGAAATTTCAACAAATGTGAATTTACGGAAAAATTCTGTGAATTCATCAATTTAATTATTAATTCTGTGTAAGATAGCTGATTTAAGTCGACAAAATTTTGTTGGATTTGATTGTAGAATGTCTCCCTTGGGATTGAGTATTTTGGACAATGGAAGAGAAAATGAAATTCGTCTTCAATTAAACCAGAGTTACAAATAGGGCAGAATCTATCGTTGCGGGAAGTTTGATTATATCTTCCAGTTTCAATCATGAGTTTGTGGTTACTTATACGAATTTTCACTAAATCTTTCCTATTAGCAGAATTTCTAATTAAGTCTAGATAACTTGAAATTTTATAATCATGTTTAAATAAGCTGTAAAATTGTAGTTTCTTAGAATGATGGATTTTATGTTGCCAATATGTAATATATTTTTGTTTTATTATATCTATATAGTGTTTGATCTTAGCTTGAACCAACAACCCAAGACAGAGGGAACGAAAAAAAGGAAACTTAAAGTTCGTAAGTACCGTATTTCCTCGAATAATAGCCGTCCATAATCGCCCCCCCCCCCTCCCCACACACACACCTCTTGCTTTCTTCTTTTTGCTTTATCTGCTCCCTGCTAAGTCAAAGTAGAGTCTGATCCAGAAAAAAGTGATCAGTGACAAATCAAGCTCTGACAACGAGGTTATTGACATTGACATATGTGATCGTCTTTTTTAATGCGATAATAAAACAAAATATTTAGGGTACGACTTCCAGTGAGCAATATTTGAGATAGTCGCCTCCCTCGAATATTCGCCTTAACCGCGAATAATCGCCCCCTTTTTGTGCAAAAAAATAATAATCGTCCACGGCTATTATTCGATAAAATACGGTAAATACGTAACATACGCAGACTGCGCAACAGTTGAAAAGCTCTTTACAAAGTCAAAGAATGAAAGGTAAAAAGGGGGAAAATGGTTTTAATTATGAAGAGGAGTATTTCTTCGTCCTTGAACTAATCATCTCTGTGTCAACATAAGAATTTTCATTTCTTAGGATATCTAAGAGGATACTGTGAATCTTTTCTTTCAACCCAAATTATTCTAGTTTCACCGTCAGATTATACGAATTTCAGACTTCAGTGAATCATTCTTATCTTTTAGCCTTTTCACACAATCAGCTCTAGTTATACTGTAGATAAATAAACGAGGGTTAATAGGAAATAAAACCGCAAGTTTTACGGAGCTTCCACACGAGGGTCTGCTCTTAAGGGACACGTGCTATCTCAAGTTAAAAAGGTCGATTTGAGTCAATAACAATTACAATAAAACGAGATTTTAACTAAACGTTTTTTGTTCGTTTTCATTTTCTTTACTCGAGGGCTTAAATTACGATTACTTTTTAAATTAATTTGCTTTCATGAATCCTTGGTTCCTAAGTTGTGCCCTGTCAAGAGATCATAATAGGACAGATAGGAAGTCTATGGTCGTTGGCCGGGATATCTAAATTTCAGAAAAGTTATTTTTAGAACTATGCGGACCATGTGGAAACAGTTTACGGTAAACTGGTTGACTTCCGGAAGAGACGCTTTCACGACTCAGCGCGCCAAAGCTAGGCGCAGTCAACAATTATTATGGTCCTGTGAAGTTTCTTGGATATGAAGCGATTTTTAATTTGCCGTTCCGTCCAAAAGGCTTCTACTCCTGTAGATCGGGTATGGGGTAGGATAACTTGTTAATAAATAGCAAGGAACTACTTATAAACAGGATAGGATAGGTTCCTGTTATAAATCAAAGGTACCGTATTCTGATGGATCTAGTCAGCAACAGATTTTGTAAGTAAACAGTAAAAAAACAAGGTCGACTGCAATTGTAGAAACTTAACCCTTGTTTTCTAGTTTATAGTTACACTAAAAGACCAGTTATGGGGCGAGAGATACATAGCTTTCAATTAACGAAATAAACCCCTTTCTCAATGCGACATCCCTGGAAGCAACTCAGCAAGCGTACTGCTTTGAACACAAAAATTGAGTTGTTTCTTTATCATAATTCATATTCATAGTAAACAGTCAGTTAATAAGCCAGTTTCGAATTAACAAAAAACAACCCAAATTCATGATAAATTCAATGCGATCACAATTTGTTTTATACCCCTTAGCCTCGGAGCCAGGTATACCTTTTGATGGCTAAAACCAGTCTTACCAGCCGCTTCAACCTCGCCCCCAGCGTCTTCTCGTTTTCCAGTATGGCAGGATTCTCTCCTACAGCTGCCATATTGGAAAACGAGAAGACCCTGGGGACGAGGTTGCAGCCGACTGATGCCCAGGGCACCTATTTAAAACAGCTTCAGCTGACGGGTTTACCCTGGTTATTATTATTATTATTACTATTATTATTATTATTATTATTATTATTATTACTATTACTATTATAATATGCTCTTTGAAAAGATGAACTTAAAAGGGGGGAGAGGGCGAAGCCGACAACAAGAGGGAAAAATATATTTAAATAATTCATATACGCCAAGTAACTCTAAAAAATATTCAAGCCCTGGCCTAAAAATTTAAAAAGATCATAGAAAGGTTAAGAAAAAAAGTTCATGGCGCTTGAAAATTCCCCATCCCCCACTCCCACCCATCCCCCACTCCCACCCCATGACGTTTCTAATGGTCCGTCCCAGAAAGTGCTGGACTGGCTTTGGGATCATCAAGCTAGTCCCGAAAGCTAGTTTAACGTTTGGTGACATTTGCCCTCTTCAGCAATATTACTAGTAATTAAAAAAAAATTCTCATGGGTGATGCGCAAATCACTTTATACAAGAACAGTGTGACGTTGCGAGTTATCGACAAAATGTCAACAAGCTGCCTCGCGTTTAACGAAGATTGCACATTAAAACAAATAATGAATACAAGGCTGGTAATACGGCAAAGGGCTGATTTATTTAAGGCCAATATTTCGGCTAGAAAAATTAGCCTTCCTCAGGGCCAGAGCTACACTTAAAGGGAACACTAAAACGGCTTCCTCTTTGGTTGCCAGTCAGAAAACAGAATTCAGTGAGGTGGACAGTGCAATCTCGTACCCAGAGTCTTCTGGCTTCAGCTGACCAAAAAGCCAGAAGACTCTGGGTACGAGATTGTGAACAGTGATGACAGCACTTGATGACAGCTCGGTAAAAATTTGCATCCCGGAAGTACTTCATGTTGTTTTCTCTGGTGTTTTTCTGTTTATTACTGCACCTCTTAATCGTTTAGTCTCAGATGTAGAACAGTTCTAAACCAATTGCTACAGTGTAATACGTTTAGAAATCAAAAAGTCATGGCCAGCGAGGACTATGAGAGACGGCGGAAGAGGTAAGTTATGTTTTAGTCGATTCATCGAGTAATCTAGATCCATTCAATTCGTCGATTCAGACTTTGAATAGCTGCAGGCTTTTGAATAACGTAAAACATCATTTCAGTTTTCCCTTTTCGTCCCCTCAGTGAACGATCGTCACAACCAGGAGTAAATGTAGGGCTTTGACTTGTCGTTTTAATAGTGCTGATTTAGATTGCAGTCGAAGGTAGCGGAGAAAGATTATGCGGTAGAATGTATAATTTGTTTATTTTAAACTTCTTTGATGTTTTAAGTTTATTGATAGGAAACTTTGGATTTGTAGATTAAAATCGAACACCCTATGCTATTTATAATTGAATTAAAGAATTTAACACTGATTCCACCAGATAAAGGAAGGAACATTTGTGTTATACAGTAGACGCTCTTCCTGCGATCACTCTCGTAAGCTTCCAGTTGAGTTTCGTCACAATGGCTAATCTGAAATTTTACCAAATGCACATGCAGTTACAACCAGCGGCAGTGGAAGGGTTTACAAGTAAAAGAAGTAAAAAATCGGAGGAAAAGGTTAACTTTGGAAAATCGAACGTGCAACGGCAGGCAACTATATATTGTCATCTTGTCACACATGACTACATAAATCACGGCTAAACATTCTACACTAATTCTACATATTTATCAAAGTATATGTATCTCAGCGGCTTTCTTTGTCCTATTAAAATTGTCAGGTTGTCGTACGATAGTCTCCGGGAGGAAAGTAAAGAAGAAGAAGAAGGAGGAAGTAAATTTGTAGACGTTCCATTGAGTCTGAAGGGTCATGTTATTGGAAAGGGTGGCCAAAAGCTGCATGAAATTATGGAGACAACTGGAACAACAATATTCTCCCAAAGCAAGGAGGAAGCCGGATTTACAATCTTTGGGGATGAAGAACAAATTGCAAATGCTGAAAGGCTTATCAAAGAAATTGTGGTAATGTGTTTAAAAACCCATAGTTATAGTGCAGGAAATAGTTCTGACAGAACACTTAAGAGCCTGCACTAGACCTATCATCAGCAAGTATACTTTATGCAACATCATGCCACCTTCAATGACTTCGATTGTCAATATAAATCTGTGCGGAGATATTTTAAACATTTTCGCATTCTCAAGTGACTTTTTATTTTTATAGTGACTAAATGTTCTGCAGAAACGAATGGCAAATAAAAATATTACCAAGTAGTCCAGTTAGTGTACTGAGATCGATTTGTTTATTTAATAATTTATTTTTATTCCCTTCTTTGGTGTTTGATTGTTAATTTTTTGTTTTTGTGACTGGTTAAAAATATGAGCTAAGGTTTCTTGACTGAAGAAATAGAAATGCTGGGCATTTTAGGATCATTGTTAAGTCATGCAAAGCTATTGAGGGCTGGAGGTTGGAATAAAGCCCTTCTTTTGTAACGAATATTTTTAAACACTGTTTTAAATAATATAGATTTCATTTTTGTGACCATAATCGACCGAACAAATTATTATTATCATTAAATAGGATCGCGTTCCTTTCAAACTTAAGTGTAGTAACTACTTACTGGACCCAAAAATAGTTTTAAGATCATTTTTACGGTGGTTAATCGTTTTACTTAAAGAAGAAATATGCTTCAGCGATTTTTTTTCGTTGATTCTAAAAACTCAAATCAGAAATGAAAGAAAAAAGGAAATGAATTCCGCTACTTGACACAATATGACTCCTCATGTTATGAAAATGATCTATTTACCTGCCACATAGACTGAGGCTATGTTCGCACTATACGTCCCGGATACATAGCTTCCCCCCCGGGGGGTACTCTCTTATATAAGCCATAAAGGTATGTGCCGCCCGAAAGGGTATGGTTTTTGAGCCTTTTTGGCCTGAAAACAGGTATTCACCAGTTCGGGTCTGGAATCGGATATGGTTTTCGATGGAACTACGGGAGTGTATGAACGTATTTATCTTTTCAATTCCAAATGATTAAGAAAGAAAGAGAAATATGCGAATTCGAAATGAATTTGAAGAATTTTGTTTATTTGCGCCCTAATCTAAATAATAATGACATAATTTCTTCCTAAAAGCCAGGTCTGAAAACGGGTATGGATTTTTAGAGGTCTGGTCTGAAAACGGGTGTGAAAAATGACATTTTTTGGCCTGAATTAGGGTGAGGATTTGGAGAACCGGGCGGCACACCCCCACCCAAGAATTCCCAGCAGTACCCCCCGGAGCTTTTCGTTCGGAGAAGAAAGGCTATCTGGTACATTGTGATCAACACCTATCCGAGATGCCCAGCTTCTCTTCGTTACAGAAATCGCACCGTGTGAACAGAAGCCTTATCCGGTATGTGTTTCGGGCCGGCGCAAAAGCTACCATTATAGGGTGAAGATGGCCTGAGTTGCGCAGATTGAGTGGAATGATTTGCTGCATCTTTTTCGTGCAGGATAGTGCCAAAAGAAGAAGGCGGGAACTAATAAAGGTTGAAGACAAATTCAAGGGTTCAGTGAAGGGAAAAGAGGCAGCTAAACTCCGACACATTTCCGCTCAGTCAGGAGCAAGAGTAATCTTAGATCGTGAAGATCAAGAAATTTACATTATCGCAGGAACAGAAGAAGAAAGGGAGTATGCTAAAGTGCTAATTGGAGAAAAAGTGGTGCGTAAAAGTTCTCTTTCCTTCGAAAGAAATCGAAGTGTAGATCTACGTATCGTGCTTCACAACTACAAATAGGACCCGTTCATTGTTATCTTCAGGAGGTCATAGGGGGGGAGGGGTGCACTACGAGAAAAGAAAAGTCATAGAATGGGGACACATATACACAGCATTCATCAACCCATCATCAATAGTAGACTGGAAACGTTTAAGAAAGCCATCTTTCTTCTCACTAACTACTGCAATCCTTCGAACTATGAAGTCGAACTATATATATTTAGTCCGCCAAATCATCATGACAGTCCAATCCGCTTTTTGCTTTTGAATAAAGCAGGAGTAAACTTAGGGGTCTTAAATTTTTCAGATTTTAACCGTGGCAGGATTAGCTCAGTCGGTAGAGCGTTTGTCTGCAGAACGGGAGGTCGCGGGTTCGATTCCCGGGGCCGGACCATTACTCAAGGTCTTAAAATGACTGAGAAATGAAGGTACTTCCTTTGCACTGCAAGCGGCGAGACCTTCGCGTGGCTCGGATGACCACTTAAAATGGCGGTCCCGTCTCCATTAGAAGACGTTAAAATAGTGTCCCCAATTAGCACTTTCGTGCTAAATACCTTGACGCTCAAATAAAAAGTGCATTTTTTTTAACGACGAGCCCTTTTTTACTTCAAGAAGTAAAAAATATTTCATCAAACAGTTTAGAAGCTCATATCATTATTGGACGCTTTCTCGTTAATAAGACCCCAAATATGAATGTATCGACCGGATTCCACTGTCTGATGTAAGATATGAATGCCTATAAAATACACAAAATGCTGCCTCAAGCGTGCCTACAGAACCCCTTAATACCTCAAGCAGGCGTTCAGACAGTGGAGAGTAGCGAAAAATGGCGAGCAGAGAGAAAAGGAAACACGCGAAATTCAACCTCGGACAATCCAATTTTTCAGATTTCTTCAGGGGAGTATCCTCGCTTTATTTTCTTAGTACGCTTCTATTTGCGCCGTCCCCGCATCTATCTGAATGCCTGCAATAAGCTTCTTATAGGTCATACGCTTTGAACCTTTTCATGACGAGATGCCTGGGAAATAGAAGCGGAGAGGGGGCAAGCAGAAATTTACTTCTATCTAAGAGTGGCAGGGAACTTCATCTTAATCTTGAGATCTTGTTTACAGTATGTGTTTTGGTTTATGTTGAAGGCTTTAGCAAGAATGAGAGGTTTTGGACGAAAAAACACGAAAACCAGTTGCTGCATCGATGACTATAATCTCAACGTACCAAAACTGAAACTGGAGCAGGTGCTGAAAAATGGCCATCCAACCGGACCGCTCGTACAATACCGACTGAAACCAGCCGAGCAATGTTATCCACAGGTGTGTCATACAAGTAATTAATTTCCTCTGTTCTCCATTCCTTGGTTGCCTCTCCCAATTCTTTCTTTGGAGTGAAAGTTTTGTTTATGCTGAAAGTCTCAGCATGCACTTTTGAAATTTTTACCAGTTTTTAGTAAATTCGAAGGTGATGTCATCTTGGATGCTGTTTGGTTGACGTCATGTTTTTGAAGCTTTCCACCCAGCGTTTGCGTAGTGAAGCTAAAAAATAAGCAAGGCAAAACCTTACTTCCTTCCTCTCGCTTAGGAACCATGCACTTCTGACGCTAGCCATCCAAGCTATAAAGAACAACTAATGAAGGACGTCTTGGTATCGTTACGTAAGGTCAAACAGGAAATGGCTGACGAGATGATGCCAAAGGCCGACATGTGGTGTCACTTTGGAAAGGTTACAATCCAAGTTCCAGATCGAGGTAGTATTTCTTTCAGTTTTACTATAAATTATCAGCTAAATTCGCCCTCATTACTTTATGCAGTGCTATGTAGAGGCTTGTGAAAGTTGGTTGTTAACATCAATCCCCAGACCGCTTTTTATCATTTTTCCTTCAGAGGATGTTCGGGATGGACTGTGGAGCATCAGAGAGGCCACAGAAAAGATAAAATACCCTAACAATAAACATTGGAAGCTAGCTTTTAATTTGGAAGGGGTTACGCCAAATGAAAGAGCATTAAGAACACAGTACAAGGAAACCTGTCCTGAGGAGATAGGTTATGTATCAAGATATGATTTAACATTTCTAACACCATGTTGGTATCAATTGAGATGCAAGGTAAGTACGCGTGCTCACAATCCTGAGGTCTGTGTCTAATAACTGGTAATATAATTTTTTTTTATGAATAGATACACAAACCTCCACGTGTATTTTAAGAAACAAATATCTCACAAAATTGATGCTAAGAACCTGCCCACCCACAAAAGTCATGACTGCACTTGTCCGAGGTAATATTACTATGAGGTATATCCAGAGATACGGAGAAAAGATCTGAGACAGCGCCCATGACACTTAATGTGGTAAATAGTTAAAACTTTACGCCACCCGAGGCAAAAAATTATAATCGGCCAGACGCTTCATTTGACTTAAACACTTAAAAGAGTGTTTATTTGAAGCAGGTTATGTACTAGGCACTATTTCGGGAATGATCAATGTCCATACATCAGATTTCACAACATAATTCATTCTTTTTAACGTAGGTATGGGTTGCAAACGAGAACTCCAAGCAAAGGCTGGAAGACATACCAATTCCTTTTGATGTGAAGAACATTTTGGGAGAGATACACTTCAAAGATGAAGATACACGGTCAAAATGTCGGGGATGGCTAGTGCTCAAGTCTCCGAAGTACTTAAGGGCAGACATCTTGTTTCCAGGTTGTGAATTTGATTGCAGGTTCCACATTCGGGGACGAAGAGGTAGGATAAGTAACTGGTGTAAAGGTTTTAGACTAAACTCGTAGTAAAAATCATGCGACTATATCCAACTCTTGAAAATGAGACTGTAAGCATTAAAAAGTGGGTTTGTTTTAGAACTTTGGTGACACTTGCAGCAACAACTGAATTGTTGGGGAAGGTTATTGTCACATACAATTAACCATTTACATACACTCACTGAAATTTATAAGTTAAAAAGTCATTAACTCTTCTGGTATGACCATGTTGACGTCTTGGAAGTTGGACCCTTATACTATAATAAGACTCAATAGCGGCAGGAGGAGGGATGATGTTCTTATGGGGGAACATTTGGCGTGCGTAGCCATAAACCGCTTAAAGCTCCTACTCTCCTGTCACTAAGAGACTCCAGGCCGGCCAAGACCAAGGCTTCCGTATAGTTTACTCGACCAAATATTATTTTGAGAGCTTTCCGCTGTACAGACTCAATTAACTCGTCCAGATATAAGGGATCGCGGCCGAAACTGGCGAGGCGTACTTATAAATGGATCTAACAATACTACAGTAGACTAACACAAACGCAGCACAAACAATCGCTTTGCCTGACTGACTGTTTTATGAACATACTTAAAGAAGATGGTGATGTAATTGAAATGACAATTTGCAAACAAAAGCAGAGTGAGACGTTATGTCAAGGTATGATGTCGATACAAAATACTTGTCATCCGGCTCGTGACAACTTTAAAACGGCTCTTTCACGAGCCAATCAGCAGTGTCCGTATGCATTTCCGCTTTCAATTCTCTTTTTCATCTCTTAGTAGTTGTAACCTTTCGCTTTTTAAAACAGTACCTAACATTTCTTTTAGCTAAGTTAAATGGCAGAGCCCCGTGTGTTAATTCTCTCCAACTCTTTCATTTGTCGTAGAAATAACTTTATTGCTAGAGTCCTCACCTTGAACATTGTCTTCTTCTCAACGAGGCACCCTCGATTAAATGGCATGGTGTGTGGCTAGAACAGTTGCTAAAACTGTGCGAGGTGACCTCCTCGGATTGCACGGTTGGGAACTAGTATAAGGATCTTTCCAAGCTATATTCCTTGAACTTAACTTAAGCAACTGAGGACCTATATAAGTTTTTTTTGTCAACAACTACAATCTGCTACAGATTTGTTTACGTGTATGCCAGACACCATCGACACAATTAAATGCGTGTTTGCACTCTTACGAAATACCTTAAGATGTTCAGGAGCAACTAAACTTTATCATCTTTTGGGGTCACAGACCCCTTTAAGATGACAAGCAGAGCTTTTTCGTCCGTAATGGTGTTCACCTTTATAAGCTGAAGCTGATTATAAGTTTTACTGAAGTCTACAAGGGGCCGTTGTAAAGTTTTTCAATCTTGGCCGAGCGCTCCGCATAAGTTTCTTACCGATAATAATTTTCCATTAACCCATTTCCTATTTACCTATCGTTTTTATATTTCACAACAGGCCACGTTTTTTTATCGAGGTTTGTTATCTATAGGAATAGCTATGAAGAGGGTAATCAATTCATCCTTTCAAGACCCTTAATGTAGTATTTTCTATTCACAGATAGCACTCAGGACATGGACTATGCACCAGACGAAAACATCCAAGATGCTCTGTTGACCTACCTGTCTGAGTTGACATTGACGGATGAAGAGCCGATGGGACTGCATCTTCCGAAGGGGGGCGAATTTCATGTTATATATTGGCGTCGTTCTAAACGAACAGAGTACACTGCTAGTACAGGCCTTAGCATCATCCTTTCTAAAGAACACACATGGAGCATAGGAAATAAAGTCATCAGAGAAACGGTCAGTATGCTAGACCTGTTTTAAAGTCACTTTTTAATAGAATACAAATTACAAAACTCAAAGCAACACTTTGAAGCAAAATTATAATTTCCCTGAATTCGCTCGAACTTCATCAGCGATGTAAATGTCAGGTTACGTAACGGATAGGTTGTTACGTATTCCTAGGATACTAAATGTCTTCGGCCGGAGCAGATAAAAAACCTTTTTGGTAACTGTAAAGTCACCTTTTTAAGGTTTCAGAACCATCAAGATATCGCCACTTTCGCTTTACTAAAGGCTTTATGCTGTCGAAAAGTGTCGTTCCTCGAGAGCATATATCCGTCCGTGTCGATAACTGAGCATTTGTCGGCCCAGTACAAAAACCTTACCTTGGTTAATATCAAGCGATTGGGTCATTGTGGACAGAAATAGGTAGACAATCTTGAACAAAATGCATTTGTGCATTGACCATTTGATATTATCTACACTCACCCCATGGTTAGATTTAGATGTGAAGCTTTTACGTGAACTACTCTTTTCTATTTTGCCGTTTAATAGACTGACGTCCATGTGCGCTACAAAGAGTGGGACACTTTACTTAGCAGCGGATTATGGGAACCAGAGGCCATAACTGAGAAGCTGCCTGAATTTCTAGAATTTGTTAAGGAAGCGCAAGCCTTCTTGTTTCATGACAAGGGTAAGTAAAGTCTTACTACGTTGATTATTCTTTCTTTTCTTTAGAATTGTTTGCTGAGTCTACAGACGGAACTTTGCTCTTGTTTTAAGTGGTTAGCCTCACCCAGTTTTTGTTTTGTTTTGTTGTTTTTGGCGTTGTCATTTAACTTTTATTTTCATCATATCACTTTAAATGCTCGTTGAATGTGCAAAGACATGTTGGGGGGGGGCGTATTAATTTGAAATATAGGTGTGAGTTAGTTATCATGACCGACAGTTTATGACACTAGGGGATGGTCAGGTTAAGTTAAAAATCTTATTAGTGAGTTGAGAAATACAACGTTGTTTTCCCCTCCGCTTTAACTTTTTATCTTCTCAAATCTTCGGAAGCAAAACCCATGGACTAGAAAACTGAGGTTGTGAAACATTTGTTCTTACATTATAGTTCCTCCAGAGATTCTTGCGCGGGGTTCGTCCGCCGTGGAAGCTTATAGAAAGGCTCTTGCTCATGGAAAAGCGTCTGACAGAAGGTTTCCGTTGATGCTCATTGGACAACACCGAGCAGGAAAGACCAGTTTAATGAAGTCGCTGACAGGGATATGCGATAACCCACAAGAAGATAGCACCGTTGGTATAGAAGTGGATCCTTCCTATTTTAAACTGACCACAGAGCCTTGGGTAACAGGAAAGAGCAGAGAGGACCAAACGTCTGAAACTACAGCCAATTTCTATGGTCTGCTCGCAGCCAGATACATCGTGGATAGCGTAAAGCCGACCGAAATGGTAACTAAAAGTGCAGAGGAATTCCATATGGCAGAAGAAAGTTTTGAACCCGGCGGCAATGAAATCTCATATGAATCAACACCAAATGATCCTGCGAAAAATGCGGACATCATTCAGGCCCCTAATCCCACTCTTACAAGTCACGAATTCGGCGTATTACCGTCTTCAACAAACTTAAATCCAGAACCAGTTACTCACGAATCTATTAAAATCACGCTCGAGTTCGAAGAAGTGGCAGCTGTGACTGAATCATTGCTCCGTGGCGATTTGGAAGACAACAGAGACGACGTGTGTTGTAATTTTTGGGATTTTGCAGGACAGTCAGTTTATTATGACACACACCCACTGTTTCTGACATCACGAGCAATTTACTGCTTGGTGTATGACCTAAGCTTAGATCCACATGGCAAAGCTGAGCCTTTGGAGAAACAAGGTGTATACAAAGCAATACCAAAGAGCGCCAATCTGAAAAGTAATATAGATTATCTCAACTTCTGGATGACGTCTGTGGCTTCGTTAACTTGTAGCGAAGAAGAATGTTGCTCGTCAGATGTGTTGCCAAAGAAACTTCCTGCCGTTTTCCTGGTATGCACGCATGCTGATAAACCATTCGGCGGTCGAGACCCTAGAGAATTATCTGTTGAAATTTTTGGTTGTCTAAAGGACAAACCTTATGGTGACCATTTGTGTGATGTATTCTTTGTAGATAACACAAGTCTGAGGGTCAAATCCTCTGACTGCCCAGAAGTCGCACGCCTGCGACAGAAAGTACTTGAAAAGGCTAAAGAACTTCCGCATATCAAGGCGACCATTCCGTTGAAGTGGTTGAGATTTGAGAAGGCGCTTCAAGCTGTGAAGAAAAAGGGATATAAATGCATTTCCCTGGAAGCGGCAAAAGATATCGCCTCGGAGGTCGGCAAAGTCAACGAAGAGAACGAGTTCACGACCTTGATGAACTACCTGCATGACCTAAGGTGCTTAATCCATTTTGATCACACTGCCGAGCTGAAAAAAATCATAATATTAAATCCCCAGTGGCTAATTGACGTTTTTAAACAGGTGATCACTGTCAAGCCATATGATGCTGATGAAGAGAAATTCTTGAATTCATGGCTTAAGCTTGAGAGGGAAGGAATTCTGGATGAAGATCTCCTAGCACATGTTTGGGGTCCTTTGTTTAACGAGAAAGAAACATGTGCCACTCTCATTGAAATAATGGAGAAATTTTGCCTGTTGTGCTCCTGGCCATCTGATACAACAAGCAACAAGAGCTACCTAGTCCCTTCAATGTTAAAGTCGCCCCCACCGAAGCAGATCACTGAGTTGGCTGCCTCTGCAAAGTTTCCTTCTTTGTTTATCAAATTCGAGAGTGGTCTAGTCCCTGCAGGGCTTTTCCCGCGGCTAGTACTGCAGTTATTTCAGTGGGGCAAAGACAAATTGTGGAGAGATGATAACCCTCATTTGTTCAATGGCTTTGCCAGGTTTTTCACCACTGAAGATGACTACTCCGTTATTTTGATTTGCAACTCGTCAACAGTCGAGATTGTAATGCACAGAGGAAGTCACGACCTAGAATTGGCTGAGGATGCGTCATCAAAGATGTCATCATCTCTACATTGTCACCAAGACACCGCTGGGATTAACTGTTGCGCTGTTGTGAGAAAGCAATTGGGTTTGACGCTTGAGTGCATGCGTAACGAGTTTTGTTGGTTAAAGAATATGAAATATGAAATGAGTGTTTTATGTCCAGTTTGCTGCAAGCGAGGATCGGTTGTCTACTGTCGAACACATCAGAAAGAAGGTTGCGAAGAAGAGCAATGCCTTCACTTCCTGTCCCTTACCGAGTTGTACCGTTCCAAGCAAGACGACTATTGTACCAGATCTACGTTAACTAAGAATCCCAGAGTTCCGGTCATGCAGTTTGCACCTTGGCTTTCCTTTAAAGAACAACTGGTAAGATGTAAGATATTATTACGGTGAAAATGTCAGCTGGTGACTTAAGAATATTGGAACACCCTAAGGATTAAGGTGTCCACAGCAGCTTCCAACCTATCAATCCCGCTTGCGTCGGAACGTGGCCTCTCTAACTTAGACCATACATTTTTTACATAGCTGTTAACCAGTACAGTTTTTTTTAAAAAACCAAAGCTTCAACTTCTTGTATGGAGTTTACAAAGTTAGAAAATTAACACTAGATTTCAGTGCTGATTGTGCATAATACATTCAAGATGGCGAATCCAAAACAGCAAGCTCAAATTCACTGCTGTACGTGAACAGCTACACCGGCGTAGTCTGTGACAAACATTTTTCGCTACAACCCATGTAGGGTTTATTCTTACAGCTTTCAAATTCTTAAAAACATGGAGGATCGAAGTGTCAAGTAAAAAAACATCGACCCATGGCCAGATTATTTAACTTTTGTAACTTATGTCCGTGGTTTAAGCGTACGTATCTTTGTGGCTTTGTATCTTGGTGTCTTTGTGGCTTTGTGTGTTCCGATTTCTGTTGAAGGAGCCAATAAGGTTGAAGATACTGTGAGTTGATGCGTAGGAACCAATGAAATTTTGGCATCTAACATGACATTCACTCGGCTTAAGGTCAACAAGGGCACTTTGAGACCGCCATCTTGATTCTTTACAATTTTTTTTTCTTTTATTACGGCTAAAGGTGTTAAGAAGCATAACATTGAAATATCTTTATGATTCAAGCGCTGAGTACAGTGATGGAGCTGTTGAATGGTCCATATTTTAGTGTGGGTGCTGCTTCAAGATATTTCTGACCTAATTCGGCTAACGCGAACGATAGTACGCACGTTTGTTATAATGTATGAGTTGTTTCACGCTCTTCAAGGTAGAGTGTAAAAGATCATATATTTTTCAAAGCTCCTCCAATGAAACAATAACTGATATTTGGATAAGGACTTTAATTCTGGAGTATGCGGCCTATGAATTGTGGTTTTAGAAGTTTGAAAGGCAAGGCAAGTATTGGTAATCCTATCTTATAAACAAGCTTTTTTCTCTCGGTTACAAAGTTCAAAAGACCGTTTTCGTACGAGGAAAAATAAACATGAATTAGTTGAACAACGTGAACAAAGCTTGCTGCTTAAGAGCCATTAATGTTATTGAAACGTATTTTATTTCGTAAAGATGCGCAATTTAAGTAGAAACAGTAACGTCAGGGAATTAAATTGGAAGAAGCGAGTTGACAAAATAATAACACATTGTTTTATTGAGTGGAATAACATGATATGAGTAGAACTGAATATAGTTTCTCGGAAGGAAATAAATGTTAGGCTATCAACCTTAATGTTGCATGAAGCATAATTTAATTGCAGGGATTGTAAAGCCGAGGAGATTTCTTAAAACCGTTTGAGCAAATTTTCTAGCAAACAATTTGCGTTATTTTACGTACGAATTGTAATAGGGACAAAGTCCACACCTTCACGTGTAAATTGTGTTTATGAGTTATTTTTATAATCCTGTTTACTGAACTACTGTGTGATAACTCGAATTCCCTCACGTAGAAACCACGAAACGGGCAAAGTCCGACACTTTCACGTGCAAACTGAGTGATTCTACATTTCATGCTACCTTTTCACAGTAATGATAGTAACTTGAACGTATGAAGAGATCTTTAGTTTAAAAGAGTAGATTGCCGGTACTGTTACAATGAAGCATTCAAAATAGCTCATGCACGTAAAACATTCCTATGTTTCCTTTAGTTAACGACTCTCACATCTGTTTTCTCATAGCTCGAAGTTGATGAAATGCTTTTTGCGGGTAATGAAGGTAGGCCTGAGCAAGTAATTGTTGAAGCAATACAAAAGAATTGCATATCCTCTATTCACCTTTACTGCCTGTGTTAAGCGTTTTATTTAGGAAAAAATGTATGTTTCGTAAGATGGGAATGAGCAAGTTTTCAAAATAGATAATCTCATCGTCCTTAACATTTGATGAATGTGAAACACTTTTTATTTGTTAGACTAACTGATATCTCACGTTCCTTTATCCCTGAAAATCGCAGACATCTGAAGAATCGAGCGGAAAAGTCTGTACGTCACGTTGGTAGCAAAATTTCTGGTTCTGAACAAACCGTGGTTTCGCAAATATGGCAGAAAAGACGAAAAAATTGACATGCATGACTTTCCTGTCACGATTGCACTCAGGAACAAAACGTTAGGCCAAACTTTTTTTCCATCTTTCGACAATGCAAATTGCCGTCTCTTTCAAGAAAGGTTCCCTACCATGGAAACGTTGATGTCACCTCTGTATGGATATAATTTTTTGGAGAACTAGCCGGGGGATTTCTAGATGAATAGTATTGATTCTTAATTGCACGAGAATGGAAAAAATATGTTCATAGTGAATTTTCGTTCTTGCACCCGTTTTGGGAAAGAGGCTTTGGGGCAACTAGGGGTTGACCTTTTATTCACACGCGGTAAAATTTAGTATGACATTGTCTAGTCTGTTGATTACAAGTATTAAAAAAAATTAGCAAAATACTATCCATTAAACGTATCATCCGACCATCAGCCATTAGTATTAAATTATACTACTTTTCAGAGGATTTAAGTCCACTTTAGGCGAGTTTAAGTCCCAGGGGTGCGAATTCGTTTTTGTTTTTTCCATCGAAGAGTTAGAGCCCCAGACCTTATTATACTCTTATTATACTCTGTAGTGTTAATTATTTAAGTGATTAGCTCGGTAACATGACGGTTATCAAAAATTTATTGTTTTTACCCGAAAAAAGTACAAGCTGAGGTTGGACTTTAACTAGCTTTCGTCGTCCAATTCACTGAAGAAATTAGGTGTTTAGCTTACTGATGGTCCCACGACTTTAAAGACTTTAAAGACCGTCAGTTTCTTGCTCTTGTCGGTGTGGGTGCTTAACACCCGCAAAAATAGATCTCGGGAGCATAAAGTCACCCAGCTTTGATCCTGCGCATCGGCTATAAGGTACGATAATTGAAACACCTCTAAACGTGCTCCATTTTATTTCGTAGAACATGTGGAGAAGGCGATAGCTATCCCTGATGATGTCTTGAAAGCCCTTACGCCCGGATCTTGTGATTCGGAGCAAGTTATTTGTCAGTTAAAAGAAAGTTTCCAATTGGACCAGTCCTCTCTTGAACAGCCAGATTGCCAAACTAAACAACTGATTCGCTGTTTTGCAAGGAAAGCTAAGCTTTCAAACAGGGATGATGTCATCATTCATCTAAGAGGAATGACACCGGCTGGAACGACGGGTGTGTTTATCAGTTTTAATAATTAATAGACGACTCTCGGAGCACGAGTGTATTTAAATGCATCCTCAGGCTTTTCTGTTGTATCGGTTTTTTTTTATAGTTTTTGTTTTGTTTTCCGCCTTCAAGATATGTGAAGTCAATATATTAACCTGTAGGTACCGCAGTTACTTCCACTAGCCTGAGAGTGTTTATGTATCTGTTCATATACTTTCAAACTATGGCTAGACCGAAATGTTTTAACTTGTTTATCAAATTTTTTCCAGGTCCTTTGTTACGTGAAAATCTTGATGTGCGAAGAATTTCTATTCCTCTTGGAAGGGAGCTGACCATCGCTTTATCAGGTGGTATGACTGAAAAAGCTTTCAGGCCCTGTCCACACGTATCCGTTTTCATTTAAAAACGCAACTTTTTCTTTACGGATACGGCTGCCGTCCACACGTATCCGATGAAAAAGATCAATGAAAACGGAACTTTTCGAAAACCCTCTCCTGAGTGGAACTTTTTGAAAACGCTGTTTTCGCGTGTACGTGTGGACAAACGAAAGCGGAACTTTTCTAAAACCGCTGAGGACAAAAAAAAGTTCCAGTCACTTCCAATCCGCTCCGCACAGTATTAGAAACTTATTGAAAGTGGCGGAAGGGCGCTTCCTTTTCTTGTCTTTTATACCTGGGCTTATTTCTAACCTAATTGCTTGTTTTCAAGCAAATTTAGCTTTGTTAATTCTTCAAGCTGATTATTCCAGGAGGCGGCAGAACATTATCAGGTTACTTTCGCTACCGGTGTCAAGAGGGGGAAGGTTGGATCTCCCTTTAGTTTGACTTTGTTTTTGCCCTTATTTTGACATTTTAAACTGTTTCTGCAACTTTAAAGAACGTCACAACAATATAAACCCACACCAAAGAAATTCAAAGATGGCGTCAATTTATTTTTTCGCGGGCTCATAATAGCGAATACGTACGCGTCAAGCATGCGCAGTCGGGTAAGTTATCGTTTTCACATCGATTCATCGTCTGCGTGTAATCTCGACCCCACAGCTCTTCTGGGCATGAAGGCCAAGGAGGAAGAGCGCTGGTGAACCCTGGAACAAGATTGTCTCTGATTGGTTTCAGCAAAAAACAATAAGAGTGTTTCTGATTGGTCCATTCAAGTTCGTACGAGAGCGTGTGAACGTGCGGCGTGTCTGGCGTGTGAGCGGGTTTTTCCCTAGAAATGTTGAAGTAAACACGCCCGGCCGATTCTTGATTTCAGCGATTCCAAAACAACATTTGCACAACTAATTAGGCAGAATAACTGGATTCCCCAATTTTCAAATAAAATACCTTCGCTACATGTCGAAAATTGACCAAGAAAAAGACTTGAATGTGAAAAATAGAATAAAAATACACCGACATCTTTGCCAGCTATAATTTAAGAAGCATGACACATAACTGATTTTTCTTCGACTGCCACGTTATCGTATTCACACGAAGTAGCCGAGTATGAATGAAAACTTTAGATTCACGTCGTAAATTGCCCAAAAACAGACTTGCAAGAGAAAAGTAAACAGAAAAAGTAAATCGTTCCCTAAAGTGATGCGTTTACAACGCGACGAGATATTTATAGTTGTCTTCTTTTCCCACGATATCGCATTTCAACTTAGCTTTAAGGGAGTGTTGAATATTCATGAACATAAATAAAAGGACGATAAATTCTTATTTTGGAAAGTTTTTTTTGAATTTCCATATGTTTATCTTAACAAGCCATTCGGGTTTCACTTACCGCTTCGTGAAGTAGTCCACGCAAATATTTAATCAACTGTCAAGCATATGCAAATTTCAAATCTCAAATCTGTGAACTTTTAATTTAACGGTATTTTCTCAGCAGCTACCACAAGAGCCTTGGATACCTGAAAATTCCTTAAGGGCTCCGTTAATTTCTTCAGTTCCAATTCCGAAGCAGCACAAAACTTTCGCGATGAAGTAGATATAAAAGAAGAAAAAAGTTTTTGTTGGAATAAAAGAGCATTCCCTGTGAGGCCCAAGGAACCAGATTTTGGCTACGCCGGCCGGTCGTCACTTGTTTCCCGAGTTGACGTGCGCATTCCCAAACCCGTAAGCACTGGGGTCGAGAATGCGTATACGTGTGGACGGGCGAAAACGCAACGAGTGGACGCAAATTGTTTTGAAAACGGCGAAAAAAGTTTCGTTTTCCAATGAATACGGATACGTGTGGACAGGGCTTCAGTTATTGGCTATGTCCACCATTCCTGTTGTTTCTGGTAACTTTTAGCCACGCTCCATGCACCTTATAAAACGCATTGTTCTTTACGCACAATGCTTGCTTTATATTAACGAATCCGAGCCACGCTCCAAGCACCTTATAGTTAAAAACACATTGTTCTTTATGCACAATGCTTACTTTATATTAACGACTCGAAGTATTGAGCCATTAGGTAAATCAAAACTTAGGGTAAAAGGCAATTAAGGCGATATCCACTTTTTCAGTACAAAATGGAGACGCCTCTAAAGTATGTTCACACGCATTTTAGGGTAGACCGCGAGTAGTCGTCTTTCTTTCCTCAGAGTAGCCTGCCTAGCATGGCGGTTTTAGTTGGGCGCGCAAAGTAATAAAGGCAGGCGAGAGCAGAGAAAGCGCGCGCTTTGCGCACGTTTTTGCGGCTTCGCCGCTCAGTAGTGCTCTCGACAAAACCGCCGTGCTACGCAGGCTATTCTCAGAGCCACACGCAATGAGCGAAAGAGTCAAATTGCAAATTAATCTTAAAAATGGAGAAGAGATTAATTGGGGCGGGGAGAGAAAAAAATTAGGTTAACTTTCCTTTCCCCTGTTCTTATGCTACAGGAGACCAGTGGGAGATTGTTGCTGAGAAACTGGGTTTAAGTCCACAAGAAATTCGTTTTCTCGATAAACGCATACTGAACCCAGCTGATGCTTTGATTGGTTACATCGCAAATCAGCGTTACCTGTCTGTAGGGGAACTTTACGACGTTTTATGCGACTGTGACCTACCTGTGGTGGCCGATCTATTGTAACGAAAATAGGACGTGTCGAAGATATTTCTTTTGATTAAGAACATATATTGAGACATTTCATGTACTTTTAAGTGAACTGTCTGTGAACAGAGGGTGAAATTCCGCATTAGTCCTCCTTTTCTTCGCTCAAATCCTTTGAGTTTGATATTCTTGTGCATGGGACATTTTTTTTTGGATTGTAGGAAGAATTTCACCACGTATATTATCGAAATGAAAAAGTGGCGTGGGCTTTAGACAGCAATGAATGGTGGCAGAATTTTCAGATCAGAATGGAATTTACCTCCTTTAGCTTAATGAAGACACTGACTAATAACGCTGCCTCAAACTATACGGTCAGGACAATTTTAAAGTTAAAAAGTTATTCTGATTTTTAAAAAATCCGTGCTTTTTTAAATATCATTGTAGATTCGATTCCCTTTTTTACCGGTGTATTCACTTCCGTTTTTAACATCTCTCAATCTCTCAGTCTCTAGAATTTTTAAGATATTTTATTATAATCACTATTTGTAAATAGGCTTTTTATCATGATTGCTGTAATTTTATTATTATCAATTTTGTTTTTAGAGGGCCAGTAGGGAGGGAGAATACTAGAATTTTTAAGATCATTTATTATAATTACTATTTGTAAATAGGCTTTTTATCATGATGGTTGTAATTTTATTATTAGTAAACTTACGCAACAGGACGGGAGAGGAAAGAAGACGGCAAACCTTTTGTGACAACCGTGACAACAAATTTGTTTGAAATAACTTTTCGCCAACCATCACTTTCCTTTAAACAGATCTTTTTGTAAAAACCAAAAAACATTAATGCTGAGTGAAGATCACGACATAACATGCAAGTTATAGCCCTGTCACGTTTGTCACACACAAACATTTTTCCGTCCTCTTCTTTCTGCCGTCCTGTTGCGTAAACTCACTATTATCAATTTTGCTTTTAGAGGGCCACTAGGGAGAATACTTTTCGTAGTAATTGGTGTCACCCTCTTAAAGTAAAGGCTATAGTGGTAAAAAATTACTATGACCCAAATTTAAAAGAATAATTGTTTTAATACATACACTTGAATTGATCTCAGCAGAATCAGGAGGCGAATCTTTAAAAACACCGTTTAATTGAAGGGTCTTGCCTAGTCCCTAGGACTCATTTTTCCGCGCGGTCTATGCGCTTCGGGTCACATGGTAAAAGGCCTGGGACTGAAGACGCTGTACAGGGACAAGAGGTCATGATCTCTTGAGAGGGACTAAGCAATAACTCGTAACTTCATACTTGAAGAATGTGCATGTGGCGGTAAACAATACATGCACAAAAGTTAGATCATAAAGTTGGATATTTTTCAATCACGGCCAACTGATTAGGCTGATAATTACCTTTTTTTGGCAGTGCACAGTACAGCCATGGTGCCGCTCTCTTTTGTGGGGTTCATTTACAGAGACTTTATGGTGCCTCGTTTGTGGCAATAAGCAAGGAGTTATCGTATATCCCCTCTGTGTCAATTGACAGATATTAAGAACATTAGAATTACCCGTTTGTTTGTTTGTGCCCGTTTAATTGATCAATTTACAAAGATTTATGATCCCCCGTTTGGGTCAGTTTACGGAGAATTATGGTGAAACATTTGTCACAATTTACAGGGATTTTTTAATCCACTAGTTGTTTTTTTGCAAATAAAAGATTTACGACCAGCATGTACAAACACTCTAAGCTGATTTTGTTTAAGTCTAAAAGCCGGTATGTCTTTATGCTTTTTATACTGTTGAAGTGGCGGATCTAGGGGAGGGGCCCGGGGGGCCCGCCCCCCCTTGTTTTTAGACCAAACTGAGGCAAACGGAGAAAAAATTTTTTTGGAAACCGACCCCTGCCTTGTCTCAGAATCTGGATGACCGGGCAACCCCCATCTGAAGGGTTGGATCCGCCACTGTGTTGCCAGAATTCTAATTTCTTTTGATCCAAAGAATAAGGTAACAAAAATGTGAAACGGATACACAAATATTTTGTATCAAAACAGGTTGAAGCAGAAGGTCTGTAAAATTCTGGACTTGTACTTGTCTGTATATGGTTCCAATTTGCCAGTGGGTGTTCACTTGTTGTATTTGTAGTTCGTTTGATACCGCAGAAGTGAACTTTTGTGCAGTCGACAACTTTTCTTTTTGGCAGGACAAATAAGTTTCAATTCATTCGAAGTTTACAAACGATCTTTATTTTTAATCATACCAGTTTTGTTTTACGCCCCCAGTTTCCGGCTTACTTCGGTCATTTTGGGAAAAAGGATTTCCTTTTACAGACCCAGAAATTTGAAACTGAGTGATGAGATCACAGTCCAATCAACCGCATATGGCTTAATGATCATGCGATCGCGTAGCACATTGATGTTATCCTTATACCGTTCATTGTGTAAGTAGTACGTGGATCCCACAACAGGGAACGTTTGTGTAGTCCAGAACTCTTCTTTTTGGCAGGGCAAATTTTTCAGTTCGTTAGAAGTTGGTAAGTTAAGAATTGTTCTTGCTTTATAAGAATTTCGGGTTTTTAACACATTCAACACTCACTTAGCTCCTTACTCCAAAAAAAATCTATTCAACTTATTTTTGATGCATCCTTCTACAGGTGCATTATTCACTCTGTCACATCAAAAGGTTGAACGCTTACGATTTGGATACTTTCTAAATGTCCCCAGAAATGAGAACTTGCGCTACATAATTATATCGATTTAGTTGATGGTGAATGGGCAGTCTTTTGACATTGTAGGCTTACAGTAATTCCAATCACTTCTTTTTTTTGGGAAAAAAAATAGATAAAACAGAAACAAAATATGAAAGTAAACCGTTCACCTGCCAGTGGAAAGTTTTTGTTGCTTTAGTAACATTTTCTCTCTTAAACGTCCCCCGTTCAAGTTTATGATTACGCACTATTTTTAAATCCAGGTTTTTTGGTTTTGCCTTCTCCGACATCTGATCCTTAATTTGGCGGATACAACATTTAGAGACTGGTATCTTATTATTTTTTCTAAGCGGGCCAAATCCAGGCAGATAATGACCTGTATTTGTCAATTTGCTTCTATTTTAATGTACCGGCTTTTGGAGTTTTATTGGTCCATTTACAGAGATGTTATAGTACCCCGTTTGTGTTTAAATTTCGAGAGTTTAATAGAACATTATAATGACCTTTATTCGTATCAATTTATAGATATATGGTTCTCCTTTGATTCAATTTAGAAAGATTTATGATCCGCCGTTTCACTTACAGACAATTATTGTGCCCCATTTGTCACTAACTCGCAGATATTCGGAAATGCGATGCGGTCCCGAACGTCTTATCCCTCTGGTTTTACCTAAAGATCACGTGGGATTGTCCTTGAACAATAATTACTGTCTATGCAAGTAGGCGTATCATTTTCTCGCTCTCTATTCTCCCTGTGATAAGGATCAATTGCAGTTTGATAATAATTTATGGGGGCGTTCCTTTTGGATGATTCAGCTTAGGATTAGTGATTTGAGATCACTCGGATCATGATCCATGAAAGGAACCGTATTTTATTCAAGACAGTTTTATTTTACAGCCTCTGTTTCACTTACCTCTTCTTTCGAAAAAGAATTAGTAATCTCACTTTTACAAGCCAGAAATTTGAAACTGTCAGAGATGGGATTACTGTCTAATCAAGTCAGTGATCATGTGATCGCATAGTATTCTCCTGGTTAGGATTTTCTCTGACGTTCATTGCGTTTAATAGCAGTCCGTGCATCTCACAAAAGTGAACTCTTCTTTGTTTGGCAGAGCAAATTTGCTTCAGTTAGGAAGTTACGAAATGTTCTTAGTTAATGAGAGTTTCGGGGTTTTATTGCGCCCAGCTCTTTATTCATTCAATTGGTTTTTGTTTGGTTGCAACCTTCTACAGTGATATTTCCTACTCAATCAAAAAAAATTAGGTAGTAAATGATCTGTTAGACGCCCGGAGCGTCCATCTAATTTTCGGAGCCGAAGCGGGGGCGTTTAAAAGAGAGAGGCGTTTATTCTCATAACAAACTCCACAAAACTATTCCGCGAATACAAAGTATATCACCACAGTATATAAATAGCAGACCATAGTCCACTACGCTGTTTAGATCAATGTGTTTTTATTAACCTCAACTTTCGATGTCAGAATCGTTATTTTGAATTGACGTTTAACAAGATGCAATGCGCAAACTCTTGCTATTCAGAAAAGAAACTGAATAAATAGAATGATTTTCCTCCTTTTTGCTAATTCCTAGCATTTTGGTGTAATGATCATGGGGAGTGTCTATAAGACAAAGGGCGTTTATTGGCGAGGAGCGTCTAAAACACACTCAATTGAATAAAGGCATAAAGGAGGCGTTTTTTAGGCAAGCGGCGTTTATTTGTTGAGAGTGGGCGTCTACTAGATCATTTATAGTATTATCAATTTTGCGTGGTAAAACGGCAGCGGCCGTGTACATATTTTACTAACTCGCATTTCAACGGTTTTTTAAGTTCCTGATTCCCCACTTCTTAGTTTAAATCCGAATATTGGGTCTTAATGCCTTGTTTGTGATGATTGAATCTTCGATTTGGATATACAACATTTGCAGACGACTGATCGTTTCTAATTCTTAGCGGTCAAATCCAGGCTGATAATGGCCTGTTTTTGTCAATTTTACAGCCATCTTATGCTACATCTCTTTTGGGCTCAATTACGGAGATTTTCTGGTTCCCCGTTTGTGGCAATAAGCAAGGAGTTATCGGATAACCCCTATGTGTCAATTTACATATTAAGAACATTACAATCACCCGTTTGTTTGTTTGTGCCCGTTTGATTGATCAATTTACAAAGATTTATGATCTCCCAGTTGGGTCAATTTGCAGAGAATTATGGTGAAACATTTGTCACAATTTACAGGGATTTTATAGACCACTCGCTGTTTTGCAGATGGAAGATTTACGACCACGACGTACAAACATTCCAAGAGAATTACTAGAATTTTGTTAAAGTCTAAAGGGTATATGTC